GACAGCAAACGCAATGGAAACGAAGCTCAGAGATAACCAAGCAGGCTTCCGGCCCAACAGATCATGTAGCGACCAGATTGCTACCTTAAGGATTATAGTAGAACAGTCGGTGGAATTCAATTTGCAGTTGTATGCCGTCTTTGTAGACTATGAGAAGGCGTTTGATTCGGTCGACAGGAACACCTTATGGAACATCCTCTCTCATTACGGAATTCCTCCCAAGATCATCAACATGATCAAAGTCTTCTACTCAGACTTCCAAGCCCAGGTGTCTCATGAAGGTGACCTGACGGAACCCTTTAACATGACAACAGGAGTAAGGCAGGGGTGCCTCTTAAGCCCCCTGCTGTTCATCACTGCACTGGATTGGATTATGAGAGAAACCACAGAGGGGGGAAGAACCGGGATACAATGGACGCTGTTGAATATGTTAGATGACCTAGATTTTGCAGACGATCTTGCCCTCTTGAGCTACAGTATCGGACAAATGAGAGGGAAGATGAAGAAGCTGGAGGACAATTCAGGCCGAGTGGGACTGGTAGTAAATGCCACCAAGACGAAGGAGATGCGCGTTAAAACAGTAGGGAACGCGAAACCAGTGAGCTGCAGAGGGGTAGAGTTGGAAATAGTGAAAGACTTCACCTACCTAGGAAGCGTCATCAGTAGCAGTGGTGGTGCTGAAATGGACATCGAGGCCCGCACAGGAAAAGCTAAGGCAGCGTTCGCTCAGCTAAAACCAGTCTGGAAGGCTAGGAACATCTCTCTTAAAACTAAACTGCGAATCTTCGAGTCAAACGTGAAGTCCATCCTGTTGTATGGCTGTGAGACGTGGGGCCTGACACAAGCAAACATCAAGAAACTCCAGACGTTCATCAACGCGAGACTCCGCTACATACTCGGGATCTGGTGGCCCAGGAAGGTCAGTAACCAAGACCTTCTGGAGATAGCAGGCCAAGAACGAGTGGAGATGACCATCAGAAGGCGTAAATGGAGATGGATTGGTCATACACTAAGGAAACCCCCAGAATCCATCACTAGAACTGCCCTTGACTGGAACCCCCAAGGGACAAGGAAGAGGGGTAGACCACGGTTGTCCTGGAAGAGAGGTGTCAGGAAGGACCTAACAGCAGCCAACACCTCGTGGCACGAGGTTAAGACGATCGCAAGGGACCGAGGGAGGTGGAGAGCGTTCACTGAAGCCCTGTGCTCTAGGACGGGCGAAGAGGATTAAGTCAAGTAAGTCAAGTCCAAAGGGAGGTCATTTGTGGGAAAAGCTGACAGTGTACATGGCAGGTTGTGCCAGGGACTGCCATACCTGAACATATAAGGCCACACCACTGCAAATGGACCCACTGTTTTTGTTAGGACTGCGGATTGATGAGCACCACAACCTGCTCTGCAGTTGAGTGGTTCATGAGGTGGTGAAATTGAATTTGAAACCTTTTTTTGGAAAGTCACAAGTCTTTATTTTAAGTGTAGAGTTAAACTTTGGAGTCAGGTTAAATATTTTTGATGTAGGAATAACATAAGGTACCAGTATGTACATGTAGGTCTAGGTACCTGAACCATTTGACAAAGTAACCTGTGGTTTTCAATGGTGACAGAAACAAGAAGAACAGTCAACAGAACATTTACTTTGATTTAGTTGGACTTAAGGTCATTCAAAGAACCTGTGCTCGCAAGAGAACCTCAAATAAAAGTTTGTGCTGATTTCTGTGCCCATAATAATCTTTTTCTAGTGCAAAATTGTCATTTTCGCAGTAGGTATAACACATTTTTCGTTACAAAATAAATATATACTTAAGTGCAAGTCTATTCAGGTACAGCACTGGTTAATTAATGTTCTGGTATTCTGGGCTCTGTACCATAATTATTTTTGTGGTATTGTACCACGTATTGGTACCAGATACATGGTGCTGGTATCAGTATGCTATCCTACCAAACAACGTGATTTGACAGAAAGCTTATGCAGTAATAATATGTGCTGGCTATTTTTGCTCTGCCTATGGGGTGGCCATCTATCCATGAAGATGTTTAGATAAGGATAGAGCATCTGGCCCCCTACACTGGAAAGTCTGGAAACTTAATCATACGCATTGTTTGATCCGGGTTCTCCATGGCAAGTCGTGAATAGGAGAACTGCATCAGGTTTAAACCAAGGGCATGGGAATGGCACTCAAGTTTTTGTCTTTTTGCTTGGGTACACAAGCAATTGACCAACATGTCAGGGAGGAGTGAAAGAACCTGAAGTGTTTTAAACTTGTCATCTTTGTTCTCGAGCTCTGATGTGGAAACACGGTTTGTGTGAAATTGACATTCATGTGATTATCCAATAGTAGGTTCTGAGAAACACTTGTATTTCTTGGGCAAACCAAGAAGTATAACATGATCTTGAGGTAAGGGTTGTTGACCTAGAATATAAAAGGGTCCAATGTTGTGCCCTCATGAAGGGCCCCGAATACCTTTTTCTTCACTCAACTCAGTGATCCCAACTTAGTGATCACTGTATAGTGGAAAGGCCCAAATTGGCCAAAACACCTTTTACCACAAAGAAATTTGGCAATCTTTTATCTGTATAGGAGAACTTTCTCACACCACATAATGGTGTACTACTGCAGGCCAAAATTCCAACATATACTATGTCAAGCCAACTCCAAAAGCCACTACGAAATGTTTGATGTATATGCAGGCCTCTTTCCAGCTCTAGATTTTTGGCAGTCCTCTAAAAAGTCTAATGTCTTAGGTAATGGAACAGTTCTGTACAGAGTGCCCAAAGGTTAAGGAGTCTTAGTCTGAGGGCATATTTACTCACAGAGTTTTAGACTTCTTGAAGTATTATCTTCTTGTATACCAAGTTGATTACTGCTAACAGAAATTCCGAGAAGTTTCTGTGAAAATAATGTAAACCTATTTCCTCTCTACTGGGAAAGGAAATGCGCAATCGGAGGGATTGGTAGACTACTAGTGAAAAGAACCACTCTTCGCAACATCGCCCATATGGAACAGTGTAGGGTGACTCATACATTCAGACGAAATACTGGTACTGCAGGATACTAGACCTTCTTCTACAACTAAGCCTCAATGTCTACACATTTCCACCTTCATTTACCTCTGCTACAACTTTACTTGATTAAAGGATATAGGTGTACTAAACAGACACATTCAGTGGATAGAATGACAGTGAAAGTTGGTTGCTATGTGTCGTCTTCTCTGTTACACTAATTGCACAAGAGGCATGCAGCAGTCTAAAGAAAGAAGTAGGGCATATCGGAGCTCAGTATAATATTGCATAAAAGTATCAGCCTGGAGAGAGTCCATTGGCAGACTTGTTTTTTCTGTGGAATCAGAGATGGGTAAACCAGTGCTGAAAGAGAATTTTGACACGGTAACCGTACTTAAGCCCAGTATCTATCCCTTATAATTTTTTTTCTGAAATTTTAAAGCAAGATTGTACTGGGTGCACATGCACTTTTGTGCACCCAAAAGTTGGAGCTCCCTTAGAGTGGTACACCAGGATAATTGTTTAGGGTTGCATACACTTAAGTACCACTGGTATACTGCATATTCTTGTCAGTGTCAGAAAAATGACGAAACCTAATGTAACTTGGCTCACCCTTGTGTGTCTTCTAAGTTCTAAGAAAAGTAGCGTTCACCACATCCTTGGCATCTTATTTATTATTAATGATACAAGGTAACAACACCTGAATTTTTCATGAGCCATGTTCGACGAAGACAATTTCAGATACGATCTCGTGCGTAGGGATAATGCACAGAAAAAGACGTGCGTCTGCCAGAAACCCTTTTTGAGAAATGAGGGTTGCGCAAGAAAAGGCTAGTGCGTCATAACATGAAAATTTCATACCATTAGATCACCCCAGTATATTGTGGATTACTGTACTCCTGCCCTGCATTTATCAGTTTTTAGCTCTTGAAATGAAAGAAATTGAAAGACATTTTCCAGACTTCAGATTCTGGATCAGAAATTTCAAGTCAGAAAATTATTGTAAACAAAACTTTTACTAAAAGTCATGGATATCAGTGAGATTTTGTGTGAGAATTTTTTTTAGAACATTATAACTTTAAACTTAACTGTTTTTACTGAAAACTTGCTCGAATTTGGTGCACATTTTCTGACTTCAAAGATGTTAGATGTATCTATGTAGGGTTGATCTTTTGTTCTTTGGTGTTTTTTTTGGTGAAATTTACACTGCGTGATGCAATGAAATATTGTTTCAAGGTTGTTGCAGCATGGAGGTCTTCGATGATCAGGGTTTCAGTTCTCCCCACTGTCACCACACCTAACCAACCAAATGAGCAACTGAGACCTTCTAGAACTCTTCAGGTGTTGAGGGAACGTGACAAAAGTTCTTTCTGATTCAAACTGTTCCTGATTTCAGACAGATAGTTCCTCCACAAATATAAAACTATCAAGATAAGCAAGTACTGGTCTTCTCAGTATTTAGTCATGTTTTCCAACTGTCACCAGTTTGCAAAACAAAAACATAAACATTTTAAGACAGAAATTTTGATCTGTGTAAGAAAGGGAGTGTTGAAACTGTGATGTTAGTGTGTTGCTATGCAGGATGATAGATATAGTCCCAAGGGAAATATTCTGAGCCAGTTTTATTCTCATTGTTCGTTACACAAAGGATTGTTGAATATTTTATGAAGAGATATGAGCTCTTTGGTGCCAGAAATGACAATTGACATTAAGTTGGAAGTGCTCAAGTGGTGATCCTTGATGTAATGACAAGAAGCACAAGAGTCCAAATTATAACTGAACATCTTATAATAAATCTAAATCTGTTTAAAAGACCCTACAAATAGTGAAAATTTCCATGTCCAAAGTCTCTAGAAAATAGCAGAATTTGTATTCCCCCTAAAATAATTTTAAAGTCGTCACTTACTGCTTTTACCTCCCAGGTCACCTCAAGCATAACAATAAAGATGCTGCTTTGCAGTACATTTCCTTTCAACTAGGGGGCATTGCTGTGCAATCAATTATTTGCCTTATTAGAAACTAACTTCTTGTAGCTATTTTTTAAAATAAACAGACGGAATAGTTAATTTTGGGATTTTCTTTTACACAACCAGTAACTTTATCTTACCAGCACAGTGTACAAAATCACCTTTGCTGCCTACAACTTGATATTTTCTTGTTCAAAGTCTGGATAAATCTTAAGTAAGACATAGAATATTTATTGTTCATATCAGCACTTGCACATGTACATGCAATAAAGTTATTTTGGCACCACCTCAGGTGTGGAGCCTTCTTCATCATCATTCTCATTAGCATAATTTAATCTTTGCTGCCATGCTTGTTCTCTTTGCAGTGACGTTTGGCATGATGGGTTCGACCATGTTCTACTTCACCAAGGTGATGGAGGACCTGTTTCTGGACTCTAGCCTGTGCTGTGGCAGCGGGAGTAACAGCTACCGCGGGATGACCTCCATGGCCGACTGGTGGAAGGTCCGTGTCTCCTCCAAATCTGCTGTTTTCTTCTCTGTTTCCTATTGTTTTAATGGGTACTTCTTGTTTTGATGCAATATATGATGTGGTGTACACTCTTTGATACTGTAAGTGGCTGTTACATGTTGCAGTTCTCTCGTGGCCCCCTGCTGGATGGTCTGTACTGGAACAAGTGGTACAACCAGAACAACGCCACCGGCTCCTACATCTACTATGAGAACAAGATGCTGGGAGTGCCGCGCATCCGGCAAATCAAGGTATGAAAACTTTTAAAAACTTAAAACAAAAATGTTCTTTTCCAATCTTCATCTTCATATGACCATCATTTAAAGCTACCTACCATGGTGACTAGTGTAGGGTTTAATCATGTTGCAGTTTTATATCAGAAGGGGTTTAGACTCCTGTCACCATATATATGAATGTGTTTGAGTAAGAATTAACAGAGCAGACCGTATGCGAAGGTAAACATTGTGCAGTTGCTAGTTTAGAGTGTGTGTTTTCAACATTTCTTGTACTGAATCCCAGGTGAAGAATGATTCGTGCGCCGTCCATGAGGATTTTAAGAACGAGATCCTGGAGTGTTATGACTCATACTCCGAGGCAGTGGAGGAGAAAGAGCCGTTCGGACTTGGTCTGAGAGGCGACAACACCACTGCAACCTGGGACGCGTAAGTTTCTTTGGTCACATGATTTAGGGCTTTCTCTAAGCAATGAAGCAAGGTGCTTCCCCTCTCCCCCAAATCCTAGCACCTCTCCCAAAATGATCAAATTTAGGGTTTTCTCTTAGTATTTCCATGAAAACTTTTACATCAACCTGACATATATCATGCATGGTATGTCTGAAAAGTGATTTCCCACACTTAGTTCGCTAGTCCATCTTGTTTAGATCGCTACTGGCCATTTGAAGTTTCGTCTAGCACCTGGCGTCGACAAATTGGCTGCCGCCATTTCCCCACTCCCCACCTTCGTGATGACATAACTGCGAAGTTCTAAAGAACTAATCCGCTATGTCTGAACCTTCTTCCTTGTATTCCACCATGTATTTTGTAGCTCAATGGACCACAGAAAAACTTTTAAATGTAACAATGTAAAATTGTTCTCCCTTACATTTAATACTCACGCCTGTCTGTTACCGCACAGGTGGTTCTACAAGACCTCGGATGAAATCGACGGCTCCGGGCACAGGGGTAAACTGACGTCCTACGCGGGGAACGGCTACGTCCAGGACCTGAACCTGACCCGGCCGGCCAGCGAGGAAAAGGTCATTGAGCTGTTCAACAACCTGTGGACAGACCGCGGGACCAGGGTGGTCTTCATCGACTTTACTGTCTACAACGCCAACATCAACCTGTTCTGTGTCATCAGGTGGGTACAGTCATGTTTACACTGTGGGTAGAGTGCTCGCCTTGCATTCGGTAAGTTGTGAGTTCGATCCCCAGCTAAGTCATACCAAAGACTGGTACACATTGCTTTGATCATTCTGCTCTTGGTGTCCCTGACACGAGTGGGCAGCAGTCGGCTAGTAGTTTTCACGTAGGGTTTGTTTTACGTTTATTTATTGTTTATTGTTATGAAGGTTGATCGCTGAGTTCCCACCAACTGGCGGACTCATCCCGTCGTTCAACTTCCGCACGGTGAAGCTGCTGCGGTACGTGACGAACTACGACTTCTTCATCATGGCGTGCGAGGGTCTGTACGTCCTCTTCATCATCTACTACATCATCGAGGAGGCCCTGGAGATCAAGCGCCACAGGCTGGGGTACTTCAAGAGTTTCTCCAACATTCTGGATGTGACAGTCATCCTGGTGAGTATGTTAGCCTGTATGTAGCTACATCACCGGCTTCTAGCAGCTCTCCCACTGGCTAGGCCTCAAGCTCGATGGCCAACATCTCCAATTTAGGAGAATTAGAAACATCATTGATTTTTGCGTATGTGCCAACATGGACCAATCACTGAATCACTGTCAGATTGAGAGGAGGAGGAGGAGGCTGATTTCAACAGTGACAGAGAATCATCAGCTCCTGGTTCTCAGAAGGGAACCCAATCACCCCCTGAAAGCAAAAGATTGTGTGTAACTCAAGCATAGATACATGTACATGTGGGGACAAATACAGCCAAAATGCATGTTCTGTAATCTTTTTGTCAATCGGGAAACCTCCCTACCTCCCATATTATCACAAGCGTCCAATCAGAAATTTCATTGCTCTAACATACATGCTCTGACATTGTTTTCGTTTTGTTTCTCCAGCTGTCATTGGCTGCCATTGCCTTTAACGTCTACCGGACCCTGAAGGTGGAGGAGCTGTTGGACCAGCTGTTGGAGAGTCCGGAGTCGTACGCTGACTTCGAGTTCCTGGCCTGGGCCCAGGGCATCTACAACGACATGGTGGCGATCACCGTGTTCTTCGCTTGGATCAAGGTATACAAACTTAGCGTGCTGCCAAGTCAAGTTCTATGAAATTCAAGGCTTTGCAAACAATCGTAGCAACACAATGGAAGGCAGAACACATAATGTATGCTTGTGGTGTAATGGGTTTGCCCGGAGAGTTACCCAAAGTATAATCAAAATGTATGTAAAATGTACAGTTAACAATATTGTGAAAAGTTTGTCATGATCAGACAGTCACAAAATAGCCCCAGCAGTAAGGCTATTGACACAGATGGGCACAGCCCTATACACTGCAAGGTGTGGGAAGGATTTTAACTTTTAACTGTAATATTCAAATTTAATTTCATTCAAACTTGCCTCTGTCAGAAGGTTTGTACATAAAGAATGGTCATGAGAATGAGTGTCTTTTTTCTTGGTCTCCCCAGGTATTCAAGTACATCAGCTTCAACAAGACGATGACACAGCTGTCCTCCACCCTTGCTCGCTGTGCTAAGGACATCGCCGGCTTCCTGGTCATGTTCTTCATCATCTTCTTTGCCTATGCCCAGCTGGGCTACCTGGTGTTCGGCACACAGGTCAAGGACTTCAGCACCTTTCCAGATGCCATGTAAGTTTACAGTAGGAGGTTCTTACATGTAAGTTTACAGTAGGAGGTCAGGGTTCTTACATGTTAAGTGCCTTCAGTGTTAAAAATACCCATATGCAGTCTGCATTTTGCAGAGACATTTTTAAAATTGCAGGATGAAAAATTAAAAAAGGACAAAGTGCAAGAACACGGACCCACAGATAAAAAGTAAAGGTGGAAAATAAATTAACTGGAACGTAAATATAAGTGATGTCTACCATAAAGATTAGCAGAATTACAAGTTGTAAAAACAGAATAGTAATGCCCAACCAAAAATGATAATTACAGCATCAATGACTAACAAGGGTAACTGTTAGTCCTATGTGTTCATCTATTTCCATTATAAGCAAGTTTGGGGCATTGTTTTGTCAAGTTCAATTTTACACAACTTACACATGTAAATCACAGCAAAAACCTACCTTCCCCATTACTGAGAAATTAGTTCCCAGTGTGAAAATAAAGGAATTTGCAGTAACTCTGTTTTTGCCATTGTTTTCCAGCTTCACCCTGTTCCGTATCATCCTGGGTGACTTTGACTTCAATGCTCTGGAGGAAGCTAACCGTGTCCTGGGTCCCATGTTCTTCATCACATACATCTTGTTGGTTTTCTTCGTCCTATTGGTGAGTCCTTATCAAACCCAAATTCCATTATAGCAACACGTTGGCAGAACGTACTGCACTAGCGCAAAACCAGCAATGATCTCATATAAGGTCGTATTCGCGTATACAAGATTAACATCCCGTCTGTAGTTATCAAATGTTATGTCAGAAAAGATCTTCAACAGGCAAAATTCTGATGCAACATCAAACAAAAATCCACCGAAAACTGTAAAAATGGGGGTTTTGCGCAGGCACAGTATGTCCTACTGACGAGCTCACTTCAGCAAGTTTGCAAGTTAATGGGTGTTGTTTTGTATTCACTGAAATAATTTATAACCATGTACCCTGTGGAATATGCTGTATACACGATCACAAATAATTCTGTTTATTATTTTTTATGTTTGATAGAATATGTTCTTGGCGATCATCAATGACACTTACTCTGAAGTGAAAGAAGAGATCGCCCAACAGAAGAGCGAGTTCGAGATTGGGGACTACTTTAAGAAGGTAAGATTTTTGCGCCAAAACTGTAAATATGGATAATTGAAATTTTCGTCATCTAGAATGTCATTTTCAATAACTTTCAAGATATTAGTGACGGTATAGCGCAACAAAATGTGTAAATCGACCATGTTTGAAACAGTGCAAACTTAACATAATATCGCTTTAGTAACATATTCTTGCCTCCTCATGACAGGGATACAACAAGATGTTGTCGAAGCTGCAGTTCAAGAGGGACAAGATAGTGGACATCCAGAAGGCGTTGGCGGCCGCCGACGTCAACAAAGACAAGCAGGTTGACTTCGAGGAGTGGCGCCAGGATCTGAAAGCGTGAGTCCTTACAATTTCACGTTTTCACATGACAACATCACTTTATAAACAGAATTTGAATATGCACCACTGTTGTATGAAGTGTTCTGAAGGTTAAGGTCAAATTGAAGCTAATAGTAAGTATGTTTTGAGTTAAAACTTTTGAGAACCAACGCAAAGTTCTCTCATATAGAGCTTTCGACCAGTCACTCTAGTCTTCCTCAGTATACTGAACCAGTGAGGCTTGTCACGTGGCTTCTTTGAAGTGTGACGTCAACACTGGGTCAAAGGAGGCTGACATTGTCTATCAGATACCATAGACCCAGTGTTGACGTCACACTTCAAAGAAGCCACGTGACAAGCCTCACTGGGTCAATCTACTGAGGAAGACCTGAGTGATTGGTCGAAAGCTCTAGGTGACAGAATTTTGTGTCAAAAGTTTTAACTCTAAACATGTAACTACCAACACAGATGAACTTTCATGATAGTCTGTAACTAAGCATGTTCTTTTTTTATTCCATCAGGCGCGGCCATGCTGATGCTGAGATTGAGGCCGTGTTCGCCAAGTACGATACTGACGGCGATCGCATTCTGGACGCTGAGGAGCAGCGCAAGATGCAGGAAGATCTGGAGGGGCAGAAGGTCGGCACTTTTTATACCTACACTTGGCCCAGTTTGAAAACACTGTTTGTAACCGTTGTAATGTCTGATAACATTTTGCTGGGAATCTGAAGACTGTCACATAAAAAAGTTTCCTCCCTGCCCTATGCAGAATTATTTGTGACACCTTCAAGTGTCACTCTGTTGTACTCTCGCAAGTTTACGTTCCGAAGTGATTGGACATTAATTATCCTGACAAAGGCGACAGTGGTCGTTGGAAATTTGATCCCTGTGTAACCCTTGTGTTGGAATAAAGTTCAACATTTTACAATGATATGCAGTGTTTGTTAAGATGTTTTATTAACATGTCGTTTTCATGTGTGGTTCCGCCTGTAGCAAGAGCTGAGTGAGGAGATTGAGGATGTGGAGAAGGCGCGGGAGAACGCGGCCGCTCACAGCAAGAGCCGCGCCAGCTTCCACGACATGACCAGCGGGGACGAGGACGACGACCGCCCTGTGCACGGCGTGTCGTTTGAGGAGTTCACCGTGTAAGTCAAACTTGAAGTATTCACTTGGATTCTTACGTTTGTTTTTCTTAACATTACATTAATCGAGTTAACATTGCACTCTGGGTGCCCACTGTAAACTTTAAATACGACTTGTTACACCTAACCCTTGAACATTGTAGCTATCTAAATTAATGATGATGAGTTCTACTCTGCAATAGTTAAAGGAAAGAATGAATTCTTGACCACCTCAATCCTTGGTACTTAAAGGCATGACTATTTCTTGGTCTTTTCTGGGCTGGGCTGGTAGATGGGTACTGGGTATGTAAACCATAATTTACACATTTAATGTAATGTTAGGTACATTTGTTTTTTTATGTGCACATGATACAATGGTCCAAAAAATGACTCTTTTCATAGAAGAGAAAGTAAAACTGCCATGTGAAAAGCTAATGTATCACAATGTATCTCTGTTTCCCTCATGTACAGCCTGAGCCGTCGTGTGGACCGTATGGAGCACTCCATCGGCAGTATTGTGTCCAAGATCGATGCCGTTCTGGTCAAGCTGGAAGCCATGGAACGTGCGAAGCTGAAGCGTCGTGAGACCATGGGCAAGCTCTTGGATAGCATTACTGAGGTAAGGGTCCCGTAACATAGGGATTTCCAGAAAGTGTGAATCAAGAGTGAAAAGAACATCCTAAACTCTGTGAATGTCATACTCAGCGCTTTCTTTATATAGAGAACTCTTTTTCTTTCTTTCGTACTCGTGATACACGGCTGATGTGAGACAAATTCTCTGTTTCTCACTCTTCTTCCTTTCTTATTCCTTGAAGGGTTATATCAATGGTTTATTTGCATTAAAACACAACAACACTGTCCCAAAAATGGCAGCCAGAGGCTGAATTGACATTGGGGCATCACATTATAAGTATAAAACCTCATATTAAGCGATTAAAATAGAAATAAACCATTACATAAAATGTATATAAGATATTGTCAACAACGTTTCAAGTGCAAATTAATATCGTAGCAGATAACAAAACAGACGGACACTGGTAACACTAAAATAAGTCTTAGGTTAAAAAAAAAGTGACAGTGTTACATATACATATTAAGCAGGCGGATCATGAACGGAAGGGCACTATTCTGATAACGATCAGTTCTGCTGCGAGGAGTGTTCAGTTTATAAGCTGATCTGGTTTGACGACCACTTATTGCACTTCTAACAGGTGGCAGAAAATGCCGGAACTGTTCTATGCATGGGTTACAGTTTTATGCATGGGTTATGAATCATCAAGTCAGCAATCAAGTCCATAAATCAGTTCACGACCTCCATGTTGTAATGTTTTAGTGCCATTTGTCTAAGAGGTTTGATTTTACAGGCAGCAGTTATTATTATTATTAAGTCCTCCCAATGTCTCAAGGAGGGCATCTTCTTTCACATAAGAAATGGCTAGAATAAAAGCTTTCTTTCATTCATTCATTCATTCATTCACTCACTCACTCACTCACTCAATCACTCAATCATTCAATCATTCACTCTCATTCATTCTTCTATTCTTTCTTTTCTGTTTGTGAGTTAAGTTCTAAAGAGGCGTATATTTGACCTGTACTGTAGGATGAGCGTGCTGGGCGTACGGAGGATGACCTGAAGCGGGAACAGATGGAGCGTCTGGTCCGAGAGGAGCTGGAGCGCTGGGACTCGGAGGCCTCCATCTCCAACGCCAGCGGCCGCGGGAACTCTCCCGCCAGCGGCGGCCGACCCCGCTCCCGCGGATCACGGCCTCCCTCCGCTGTAAGTTCACTTCTATAAGCACGTCTGCAGAACGTACTGCGCCTGCAAGAAACCTGTAAGGCCTGGGAAAAAAATGTGTTTCCTGTTTTAGTCCTGAAAAAATTAGGGTTGGTAGGGATTATCTTTTCTTTTTTCTTTTTAGACTTTGGTAGTCTCTATGTAGTGATCCAAATGATAAAATTCAGAGAGTTCAAATGTTGTTTTATGAAATAAAGTTAACAGTTCATTAACATGGTTTTTTCCACCATTTTCCAGGACCATGGCCCAAGTGGAAGCAATGCGTAAAAAGGTTTCCACCGAGAGAAGGACTTTGAGATTGTACAATGTCACAAGAGGCCTTAAGAGAACCCACTGGATGTATATATTGTATGTGGTCTAAACAGAAGAGGGTTGAAAGACCGGAGAAATTTGATGCAATCATGAAGACAAAAAAAAAAATGTTTCTGCATGTGTTACGAGTATTACAGACTGATAAGTTCTCTACATATCCATTTATTCCTCAAGTAATGTGTGTGTTAACACTTCAGGTGAGATTCAGCACAAGTACTGATGAGTTTAATCCAACAATATGCTTCTCATTATTTTCAATAATCAGGAAAGTAACAAATGTCATTATATAACAGGAGTATACTAAGAAGAAACCCACCTGTGTCCTCTGTATAGAACTATACTGGAGAATTATGTGTTGTTATACTTGTGCGGTGTTACATAGACATATTTATATTGAATATATATTCCTAAATAGTGTAGATGACATCTATTTTCAAAGTATTTTAGAGGAGCGATGTGGAAACATGTAAGTGGATGTTTTCCATGTGAGTTACTGTCTACTACTGGCCGATGGGCTTTACACTTAGCAGACTCTTCACTGTCTTAAATCTTTCATACTTTCTTCATCTCTAAATCCCTTTGCATAGGGCTTTACCAAGACTTACTATGCAGTCAGAAATGCTGTTCCAAGGTGAGAGTTACTAACTTAAAGGTACGGTAGATTTGGCTTTGGACTTTAAGAAAATTGACAGGCATGCTTTTGTTAAAAATCTTGATGTATTATGGGATGTTCTGGAAAAAATCTTATGGGAACAGCTCTTTTGTATCACATTTGGTCAATATAAATTGAATTCAAATCCTTGGAAATATATATTGAAAACGATATTAAAAGAATTGCCCAAACAAGAAAAATCAGAAATATTTTTACCCATCTATTAAAATCTATGATTTTTCTCTTTGAAGTTGGTTCTGGGACCAAGAACATGTCTACATTATTCCTTTCACTGTGTTCCAAACTTCTCATCTATCCGTGTCATGTGTGGCGTTATGTAAAGCATATCAACAATCTTCAAAAGAAGAGCATAAGAGACAGTGTGTTATCATGTCATTTTACCGGATGTTTATTGTGATGGGATGGTGTAGAGTATAAAGATGTAACTGTCATGTGACATTACACTGCTTAAAGTTAAACTCACGGGTGAAGAGTTTTGTCCAATGTTACAAAAAAATGTAACTCCAGTCCTTGTACTTTGTGGAAACCCATGTTTTGATGACTAATTGTGTTTAAAAAATCATTCATCAAAGATCTTTCGGTAAACGTTTACTCACAGTCACATGTACATTTGGACAAAGCTCAACACACCAGATTGTATATATTTCCAAAATGTAGCAAAGCAGATATGAAAACTTGCCTTGTGATCTGATTTAAATTTTTTGGCCACGTCAAACATGAAAAAAAAATGTATGGAACCGTCGTAAGGGATCTTACAGGATTGGTGCATGTATACATTTAAAGCATTTTTTAAAACACAGTTATTATAAATGTAAAAATAAAAAAAGCATGACCTTCATTACATCAGTATTTGTATTCTGCTAACTCTTCAAGTTATGGGTGATTGCTACACTATAGTTCATAATCATAAAGGACCCTTAGGAAACTGAAGTTACCTGGATATGTGCCTTGTGTAATATGGAAAAGTGCCTGTGTGGAAGGGTCCCACATATGCAAATTAATGGCATTTTCTCAGAATAAATGCTTCTCCTATCACTTCACAAGGTGTGTGTCTCTTTTGTTTGGCTTTCATATTTAGGTAGATGAAAGAAATCCATGTTCCAAGTATGGCAATTGGTTATGATACAAACTACTAGACTATATGTATTTTGCCATTTTTAGATAGTAAATTACTTTACAAGACAGGCAAGATCTAGTAAGTAAAAGAAATGACATAAAAATACAGGAAAACACTGCTAACCCCAAAGACGATTTTATTTAAGAAAACAAACCCCTCAACAACCCTGTGAATGGACTTGCTTTAAGAAACTTAAAAGTAGTAACTTAAGGCTCAATCTTCTATACAGATCGAGCTTCGATTGTGTCAATCCTTATCCAATGTAAAATAAATAATCCTTAAAAGTTTAAAATCTACCCAGCAAACAAGGATATAGATGTACATTAAATCAACTACAAACACCACAAATCTTTTGCATAGATACAATAAATACATTGCACAGATAGAAAACAATAAACTGCCACTACAATGTACATAATGATAATGTGCACCATTCAAAAACACACTATGATAAAGCAAATTTCTAGTGACTGCCTATCTACTATTGACACCTCATCACCCTAAAGTATGGTCTTAATTTTCTGCTACATTCTAGTTGGTGGCCCAAAACTTCTTCAACCTCAACTTATACGATCTACAAAAATGTGACCACCCTAGCAAGGAATTTTCTTTATTTTTCACCATACAAACTTCACCAAAAGGAATGTACAATGTATCTTGTTTTTGATTGTAGCAATGTCATGTTATCTTTACCACAATCAGCAGTTTATAACACAGAACATATGAAGGGTGGTTGCAAACATCCTGAAAATTTGGTCAGTCATTTTATGTATATTATAGTTACCACAAATGGCTTCTGTCCTATGAAAGTGTGTAATAACTCAAATTACATTAAGTATTTTATCCAATGAGCATGAAGCATATTTATGATAGCTATCTGTTATGGTAAGTACAAACAATGGCATCTTGTTAAGTGTTGATAAAAATGTTAATTAAAACACAAACATAAGTTTAGAAGAAACAACATTTGACAACCTGTGATTGTCATAGTCTCAGCTAAGAATTATTCTACTGCAAAGTTTTGGTTGCAAAGGAAAGAATAAAACATGAATGAGAGGGCTAGAAAGCACAACAAAGTGCTAGGAAAGTTAACACTGTCATGTTGAAATAGAAATTATAATATTTCTCGAAACTTTTTCTATGGAATTGCTTTGAAGATGCCACGGTCACTTAGTGACATTTGTAAGCTAGGTTAGTAGCCTGGTATCCATACTATTCTGGCTCCTGTTTGCTCCTCTGATCACTTCAATCGTCCAAATAACATGTCACTCATCCTCATCATAACTTTGGCCCTTACATTGTTATTTTGGGTATCAAATATTTTCTAGGATTGAACTTTTGACTGTTCGAGCCCTGTTACCATCTCCATACAGAAGACAATGAGCCAACTGGAGCTGTTGAATGTGTATATTTTAGGAGAATGTTCATTCCTCTCTTAAATGTTGCTAGACTGTTTTGCAGGAAAGCAATCAGACAAGCTGAGTGGAGCTGGAATGGAACAGATCCTAGGCTACTGGTTTGTGTCCATGTTTCAGTACTACCCTCCAAGCAGAAGTTTGGGTTTTGGGTTATTTTTGGCATGTTTTTAGACTTTTTATGAGGGTTTCTTATTTGCACCGGAATTTTTTTTCACCCCCCCAAAAAAAGGATTGGAGGGATGGAGTAAAAAAAATCCAGTGCAAAAAAGATACCCCGATAAAAAAGCCTAAAAACACGCCAACAATAAGCCAAAACCCAAACCTCTGCTTGGAGATTATTACAGTATGTCCGTTTAGTCCCAGGCAGAGCCAGTCATCTGGGTGTAGCCGGCAGAGCGCGGGCCGGACCCTGACACAGACTGCAGCGAGCGCTTGGTCGGGGACACGGGCTCGTACCGCGTCTCGTAGCGGGTGGTGGTGGTTTCCACGCGCCTGGTCGGCGAGGCCGGTGGTAAGTCCACACTGTACTTGGTACTATCTGGCACTGCGGCCTGGTGAACTGGCACTCTATAATTATCACAGAGTGAGTAGGTGAGTCGGTGAGTGAACATGATGGCGCGTGAGCATTATTATCATCATGGTTATGGTGGTGATGATCAGGAATGCATATTATATGAAGCGTGTAAGCTCTACTTGTTGCTACTACTAGTACTAGTAACTGTGAGCAACTCTCACAATTTCCCTGGGTACCCCTAGACAGCCACCGTAATAAAAGACTCTTAGGCTGTGTTAAACACCTGAATATCCGAAGAGGATTACTGTCAGTGAATGTTGCATTTAGTAGATCTTTTTAAATTCATTATTTTTTCTGTTGCTACTGTAGCAATTTTAGAGTACCCAGAGAACTTATGGGAGTTGACAAGATTACATACATGTATGATTATTGTATTTAGAATCAGTGAATTTCTTCCAGACTGGAGTAAAGCAAGAGGATTGTTAGTAATAAGCTGTTATTGCTGAAAGTTAGGAATGCTGTTAGTAATTATGTTATGATTAGTGATGGCAATTATTTTTCAACAAACACTGATGACCATTTTTCATGCTTGTTATACAGTAACAGTTATTCTTGTCCTTGTTGATGAATGCCAAAAAAAAAAAAGTAAAATGCAAATTGCTCCCTTGATATGAAAAAAGAAAAACAACAAAATTCTGCTTGTCTGTCAAACAGAGCCTCTATTGCAGGCCCCATTTGGACTTTTTTCAACTGGCTGTTCAATAGCTAAGGCCACTCCAATTCAATTTGTTGGTTCTCAGATTTGCCCGCTTCATTTTTTTCTGCATTGCAAAAAAAAACCAGACATTTCAGGCAGGCTGTGAATCAAATCCAAAATGCTCCATATTTTGGCCCCCAACAGTTTAAGGAAGTTCCTTTTCATTCGAATTGTTACAGTTTTTCCATCTCTCAATGCAGTGGTTTGATTGGAAAATTCAAACTTGAGATTATAAAGCAGCCTGCTGTACATGTATGTTGACTTTACAGCTCCTTTCATAGCATCTGGGGCTATCTTAGGATGTCTACATCATGTACTAGTAGGCCTGTTTTCATTTTTTTTTTCCTACCGCTTCATATTTCTACTGAAAAAATCTGAGAACCAACAAATCAAATTGGTGTGGCCTAAAGTCCTGATTGCTTGCCAGGTTATCCAGCTACATGTATGTGATTGTCCAAAGCACTGGTCAACAGGTGAGGACATTCCTTATTGTGATTGACAGTAGGGAAGGTGGGGTTAGCAGTAAGCAAATTGTTAGGAGGAATGGGACGGATATTCCCCGTAAACATTAGGTTCGCCACCCTTTTCGAAGTGATACTTTTCCACGTAGATATCTGGGACAGGCCTGGATCTGTAAAAGGCATGCATGGGGTGAAAAGAAAAGCAGTGACTCAAGAGCCTTAATTCCTTTAAGTATAACATAAGAAGGAAAAGGCAGCCCAAAAGATCATCTACAAATATCTTCATTGTAGAAATTGAAGAAATCTTAGGTTCAAATAACAATATTTGTACTACAAAAAAAAAAAAATTTGATAAAACTTTTGCACTGAGTAGAGGTTAACAATTATAGAGCATGTTCATGGGATGCTATCACTGTGTCTAGTGCCATGTTTGTGTCTCTATTTGCATTAAAGTGAGTCATAGCTCAAATACTTTTGGGCATTTAAAGATCTTCTGAGTTCTGACCCTCTCAAAGAGCTGCTTTAATGCCTGAGCCCAAATAAAATACCAGAAATAAAATATAAAAATGCTCCATTGAAATGCAAATAGTGACACCAACATAGCAGTCAGCACTTGCCTGCTCATTCATGCAGAAAAAAAAGAGAGACAAAAAAAATGTTCCAAATAGAGTTCTTCTGATGATATTTATCCAAAACCAGACAGAATTTATGAAATGAAACACCGTCAAACAGCAAGTTTAAAATGAAATTCTTGTGGATGAAGGGAAAGGAGGTTTCATAGAAAAATAGACACAAACAAAAAGTTATTTACCCTGCCAGTGGTTGCATCTCATAGCTCTGCTGAGGTCCCTGCTGCATGACAGAGTAGCTGGGCTGCCCACCATACTCCACATTCTTGGGCACCTTAGTAGCCTTGTAGTACTCAGCCTCATATGTCTCCTTCTTCTTCCTCTTGAAGAAGCCACACTAGAGGAATAATGCAGAAATGTAAGATAAAAATCCATTTGTCACTAATATATGACTTATCCTGTTTCAAAGTCTTCGAATAAAACTTGCCTGTAGTTCCTTGAGAAAAGCTGCTAGAGAGCCCAAATTTACATGTATGTCACTTTTTACCATTATCACTATCTACATAGTATTTACATGTATACCCCACCCATGTCGACATGATGTAATTGTTTGACTGTTTGGTCTTGAGTCAAGAGATCATTTGGGTTTGGAATTACCCATTTCAGAAGAAGGGGGATTCAAGCCTTCAGCAGAACTCCCGCTTCTCCTGCACCTGTGTAGTCTAACCGTGAGCCTGTCTCTGAGTCATAGTGTTTTAATGTTTTAAAGTCCAACTTAGGGAAAAGAACTGATGTTCTAGTCCTATTCATGTAACCCTGGGCATGTTACAGTGGTGACCATGATTGAGTATTATAAAACATCTCTTCACCTTCCACAGACACAGAGCCAGCAGCAGCAGCAGCAGTAGAGCAGCTAACACAGCCAGCAGGATGATCCACCAGGGGATGCCTGACACAGTCTTAGTCTCCAACTTCTGCAGGATGGCCATAGTCTCTATCTGGATTGGGGAAAAAAAGGTATGATACTGTAACTAAGATTAAAAAATTTTGTGTGCCAAGATGCCCTCCTCATTGACATACCAGTCCATATGTTTGTAGTATGTATCATAATATATATACACATGTATAAGGATAAATTGTTGAAAATTCTTTTGTTTCACTGCAGGGCTCGTTTTTTTGGGAATAGGGGCATTGGTGCACCCAACCTAAAAAAATTGGGTGCAGAAAAAAATTTTTGATCCTATTATTTTTCTGACACTTACATTTTGTAGATGTTAAGAATATGTTGTATACTTCTACTACTAAACATTTAACATCCATACATACGTAAACCTACAAAAATATTTGCACTGGTGCACCCATAGAAAAAGATTGGGTGCACAGGTTCAAATGTGGGTGCACTAAGGTGCAGATGAACCCAGTGTTTTGAGCCCTGTATTGTCATACTTTGTCATACCTCTTGAGTGATCACATCAGCCTGCCTGCGTTTGCGTGAACTGCCAGATTCGATGGTGACCTGTCCGGATGATTTGATGCTCACCATTCCTGGACGGTTGTATTCCTAAGGTGGAGTAAAAATGTAAAATCAAATACACGCTGTACCTGTAACAATTTTTGAGTATTAGAAGGCATAATATAAGCAACAGTGCTTCTTTCCTAATGCTCAATAAAATGGATCTCATTATCAGGCTGTCTGATTTGGTTAGCCTAGGTGCCGTCTGTTCTGTAACCCCAAAGAGCCCAATGTTACAAAATGGATGGCACCCAGGGTACATATGATTTTGGTATCTTAAAGTCCCAGTACCATGATGAGGGTGTTATTCCACAGCCTGGCCTTGATGGTGATTTTGATGTCCTGTCTGATGTTGGTGAAGGTACAGCGGATGGTCGCACACTTGGCCATGTCCTCAGGCATGCCAGAACAGTGCTGTAGGGGGAAACACATGCAGGTATAATCTGTATCATTCTGGATAATCTGGACAATAGCCAGTATAACCGTGCTTCCCAGGCACACAGGGGCGGCAGCTAGCCATATCACACTGAATGACTTGTTACACTCAATCTTTGCACATTTAATTGCAGGAGTTGTTTAAAGCTTTCGATGATGCCCCAACTGTGCTTGGTGGCAATGAGTTCCTAATATATTTCTTGGAAAATAAAAGTTTTTGAACACCTATGACTCTTTCTTGTTGTACATGTAATGTCTGGGCTGGTATCAGATACTTAGTGGTTGGTATGTCCAGGGCTTAGATTTTTATCAACAATGTACCACCCAATTACAAACAAAAGACTGAAATCCATAGGGCAATGCTAGACAGGCAAAGAAAGATCATAGTCATAAACTGGATGGCTAAGAAAGGACTACATTAACCTGGTGTTTACCTACATGACGGTGATTGTGTACATAGAATCCCCCTGCTTGTAGTTACAGGGGATAAGATTAAGAAATGGAAAGAATGAACATGGAACAGTTCAAGTTTGATGGAGGGAGTGAGGTGGATTACCAGGTTTGACAGTTTCTCTCCCTGTTGCAGGGTCCTGGACTCCTGGGCCCTGGGCTCGTCAGCGTCCCTCCTCTCCCTGGTCCGTTTCCCGTTCCCGAAGTCCGTGATGTTGACGTAGTCACGATCTCTGTCCAGGACATCTCCAACACCTGCACCCTCCTGCAGGCAGGGAACAGAACATTTTAGGGTAAGTTTTTGTCTTCATTGTCTGAAGGCTATTAGAGCTTGCTAGCTGTCAGTCAATCAGATAATCCTCAAAGGTACAATACAGTACTTAATAATACTGAATCAGATATGGTCTCATTGCAATTTGGAAATTTTTTGGAAAATTTTGAGATTAAAAAAAATCTCAAGATATATTTTGAGATTTTTTCATTTTCAATGAAGCATGAAAGGTCTCACTGGCAAGTATTATGATCCATTGGGTGACAGAGAATCTCTCCAGAAAATATCAGATGGGTAGGTTTAAGTAAAAAATGGCTAGAGCCACTACCGGCACTAGTCCAAAGTGCTCTGCTCAGTCCAAAAGTAATCTGCTCGCTGTTGATATCATTCTTCCACCCATTATTAAAACTGTTATATTTGACTTGTCGTCATGTAATGTATTATGCACATGTATGTGGTGACATTTTGACTTTACCTTGATCTTGAGTGGATTGCTGAGGATGGGTGGGCGATCACACGTTTCACCTTCAGACTGTCCAGTCAACTGTAATTGAAAAGTTAAAACAGATCATCACACATTAGCAACAGACAAGAAACAGCACGTTGGCAGAATGTACTGTGCAAGCTCAAAACCCCCATTTTTCACGATTTTCATTGGATTTTTGGTCAACATTGCATTAGAATTTTGCCTGTTGCAGGCGATATTTTTGCCAACATAACATTTGGAAACTACAGAGTGTTAACCTTACATGCGTGAATATTACCTTATACGAGAGTTCTGCCGAAGTGCTATGCACAATACATTACGGGTTTCGCGCAGGTGCAGTACGTTCTGTGTTATGCTGAGACAGTTGAATGAAGAACAATGACAGACAACTTCAGTAACTTTGAGATATGGTGATGATCGGTATTCATAATCCATTGAAAAAGCGTACCGTGATATCCATGATGTACAGCAGCCATTTACCGCGGGTGTGGAGAGATGGGTCGTTTTGAGTCTCGTATGGCCAGTTGATGACAACGTCTGCACGCGGAGTAATTCCTTCTCCTGTGTTCTTCAGCTGTTCAAAACACCACGTGTCAATCAGAACAGGATACCGCAAACAGTATGAGCCATAATGGCCCATAATATTTCTCACACACGTTACCATAACAAATCTTTGGAAGCTTATTTTTATTGAATGGAAGACTGTATGATGACATTGGCCTGCATTATGTATGAAGTTTGAAAATTCTACAAAATGTAGCAGATATATACGTGTACATTGTAGGACTGCCATTGTTTTCTGGTTGGATACTATGAGTTTAAAGAATAAATTGAGTGTTGGGTGAAAATTTGTGAAAGGTCTGTCTTACATGCAGATACCCAAAGAGCATTGCCCTTGGAAGTTACTAGGTGATCTACAAGTATGCCTACTGGTTATACAAGATGTAGATAACCACTTTCATGTAAATTTCATGCAGATTGTCGGCATAACAACTTATCCATAAACAGTACTAGTAACCTGCACCAAAACATTAAGTCACTGTTACCGTATAGGTGTGGTACACCGCTGGCCCAATGTTTGCTTCAAACTCCATGGCACTCTCCCCAACTAGCTTCTTGGGTTCCTGATAGAAAAGCTCTCTGGGGTTTGAAGACCTATAAGGAAAATTCAGTCAAATTGTCCAAAATCATATCCAGTTGCTTGAGTAACTCACTCAGTGTTTTGGCATATCTTATTACCTGGATGTCTAACCTTCACTGACTATTAGGAATCATACAATACAATACATGTACATGTGAGACATCTGGTTTTTTTGTTCATGTTCTATGTTGTTATTTTGTCACTAGCCTTTGGTTATGAATTGTACTCAAGATAATCATATTACAGAAAGCTATTCAGACTGACAGACTACAAACTACTTGATAAGCTGTTTAGAATTTCTTACTCACCCTCCTAGTGTCACCTTTGACTCAGCAAGAACTGTGAATGACAGCACTTTGTTTGGCATTGTTTGTTTTACATCTGAACTGGTCCTGAAAAGTACAGAAAATATGATGCATATTATTAAATTGTCACTCCAACAAATAAAGATAGTAACAAAGTTAGTTAAAATCGTTCCTAATATACAATGTAGGGGCAGTGCCCATCTACATTTCTATTAATATAGGACATGGGCCACACAGGCCACTACATCTAGGGGCCTGTTCACTGGCAGTGGAGTGTGTTCAACTCCCATACATTTTCTGGAGAAGTTCTAACTAGAGAAAACAGTATGCACCATGTATTTGGTATTACCCAGCTTGAACTCCCATTCCCAACCTTCCAGATGGAAGGTGGACATGCTACTAGTAAGGTAAAGAAGTATTACTTACGTGTTTAGTTCAAATTCTATCATCATAGCGTCTGTCAGGAAGCGACTGTTGACTGTAAACTGCAAGACTACCTCTTGCTGTAAATAAAAAAAAAATGTTGTAGAAAACTTGACAAAATTTATCAAATTTTGTTTAGTAAACAGTGCAAGATTAATTTTACTGTTACAGCTACATGGATATAGGGCAAGATTCATTATGATACAATGTAAGCACATGTTGAGAGCATGTTGTAACGTAACCGTGAATACTGGAATGTTGAGTTTATATATGAAATAAGGTCACAAATGCAACAATGAAGAACTAGCAATGTTAAAACACAAACACTAGATGTACACCAAAAACAGTTACCCAAGCTACTGGGTATGATTTGGGAAATGGTCAGACGTTTCAGGTAGCATCCACTACCTTTCGTCAGTGACACTTATTATAGAGAACTTGTGCAGAAAGGCAGGCTTATAAGCAAGAACTATTGCTTGGCATGCAAATAAGTGAAGACAATTTTTTAGAAGCCCAAAGGGAAGTAAAAGACAAGTTAAGACAATACATGTACCTGTCTCCGTAGGGGGTTTCCCAGGCTGCATTCAAGTACAGACTGGTTGACAGCGTTGGTTTGACACGATACGTCCCTATCATCTAAAGACACCGCCTTGTTGTAGGTGAGGCCTCGCGAATATGCCATGAGCAGTCTGGTGAAGTACGCTGGCTCACCGTTGTTGGTTGTTTTTACCCTCACATCGACTGTCCTTCGGTCTTGGCTGACTCGTAGGACTGGATTACTGTTAAATCATTCATTCCGTAAATAATTTCATCAGGTTGGAAGATACTTAGGGTATAGAATTTTCTTCTTACACAACCATAGAGTTTCTCACCTGCTTACGTTTCGATGTCTACCAGACACCTTCCTCATTAATAGGCGTTAAATAGCGGCGAGTTGCAGAACTCCAGTCAGAAGCTCTGAGGAAGGTGTCCGATAGACATCGAAACGTAAGCAGGTGAGAAACTCTATGGTTGTGTAAGAAGAAAATTCTATACCCTAAATCATTCATTGTTTAATAAGAAGTGACTTCACCATGTAAGGAGCCTCACGTAATACAACAACTACATGTATCTGCCACCAAAAGTCATCACCATAGCATGTCATTGAGATACGTGACCAAGAAGTTCTGATGTTTTAACATTGACTTTGATACTTGTTTCTTTTCAGTTTTGATTTATTAATTTCACCTGCTTAGCTGCGGTAACACTCATATAGGTACATAACAACCTGAGTGTGTTTTAGGCAATTCTTAAGGTATACAAAGGACGATTAAGAAACGTACGGCACAATGCGATACAGAATGACGTAACAAAAAACTCACACAATTTCACTTCTCATTTCGATCATTGTTGAGTATATATAAAAAATCTAGTCATTTCTAGTTATACGAAAGGAACTACGTCAGCTTGATTGACGTCCAAGGTTGTAGTTAAAATCTTATGTCAGGTGGCATTGTCCTTCAGCAGTGTAATAACCTTAACTCCTCATCAAAGAAAACTTACTCTTGAGGAAGGTTATCAAAAGTAGCTTCCATGGCCAAATCACTCTCACAGACCTGGTCATCGCCACAACCTTGCTTGAAGAACTCAATCTGAGGGAGAAAAGAACAATCCAGGCAATTTGACACATTTTCAAATTAATAGAGTTGTGCTCAGTGCTGCATTAATGCTCAAAGTTTTAATGCCGGGTTGAGGCGGCATACATGTAGAAGCAATCGTAGGAGCAAACTGACACTAGCCTGGGTGCCATCCCCAGTAGTATTCACCCGCTCTATAATGTCACTAGCTACCGGGCGAATACTACTGGGGATGGCACCCAGGCTAGTGTCAGTTTGCTCCTACGATTGCTTCTACATGTATGTAGAATAGTCTGGCCTCCATCCCAATTTAGATTGACAGTTTAGACAGGGAAAACTTGGACAGCCATAATGACCATGAAATTACCATGGCACTACATCCAGATAAGAATGGACTCCAGGCAAGTGTATTCTTACCTCCAGAGAGGACATGAGTTTTTCCATCCGTTTGCCATCCTTCAGTGTGGAGATGGGACTAAGGCTTGGGAAGTTGTTCAGTTTGGGGAGGCTGCTTCCGCTAGTTGACAAGGCTGGCGGGTCTTGGTCAATCCAGTACTTCAGCGCAACCTTGATAGGTGTTACCAAGTCCCTCTCGTCTTTCTGTTGAATGAATGCATACTGAACTATCAGTATCTGTATTGGTATAGCCGGTATAACCGCCCTATGGCATAACATACCAGTTTCGCACGCATGCAAAGGTGCTTCCCTATACACTATATACTTAGGAAGGACTTAAACTTCTTTCAGGAATTGTTTTTGATTAGAAATATGAAGTTTAACTGTAAAGCAGGACCTGGTGTGTTTGCAAATGGGAAAGTATCAAGTATGAACTATGGAAAATTAATTACTTGATTAATTATTAATTACCAATTAATAGAATTGCAGATACAAAAAAAGTTATAAGGCCACACCAATTTGATTTGTTGATTTTGCTGTAAATGCTGTAATTTCTAGCAATGAACTGCATTGGTCAATGAAAAAACCTGTACTATATCTAAAGAGAAGGGACTTCCTTCAACTGTTTGGGCCAAAATATGAGCATTTTGTAGTTGATATAGAGCCTGAAATGTTTGGTTTATTTTGCAAATCAGAAAAAATGAAGTGAACCAACAAATTAAATTGGTGTGGCCTAAAGAACTGAACAGCATCTTAAAGAAACCTTTAGGAAGAGTTGATATGTCTTCTCCTGCCCTGTACGGCCCGGTGCCACCCTTCTCATGGTCTCCCTTCTCTTGTTGTTCTTGTTGTTGAAGAACACCCGAGGATTTCTAGCATCAACATCAGCTTCAAGTTCGTACTTGATATCTGTAATCATCACCAATATAAAGAATAATAAGTATCATAACTAGAAGGTAACATTTGTAAAGCAGATGCATAATGTTTACCTTCAGTAGGCATATGGTCTGCTCTGTTAATTCTTACTCAAACACATTCTGAATTTCATATATATGGTCAAACAGGAGTCTAAATCCCTCCTGCTATAAAATTGCAACATGATGTAACTCAACACTAGTTACCATGGTGACAGACATCTGGTTCAGGTCATTGAGCTTATTGGTTTGGACAAGAAGAAGAGGAAACAGAGCAAAAACAATATGTTTTCCTTCGGTAAACAAATTGGGCAACAACACAAAACAAGACATCATAGCCCATATTGTACATTATATATAATACAGTACAATATACATGTAAAAGCAGTGCAATACAAAGAAATAAGAATACCATCATAAAACTGATAAAACTGTGTCTGATTCTTCCAAGATTGTTTTACTGCTACAAAATGGGACATTACAGACAGACGGCGTACTTACCAATTTCGTTAGGGCCAAATCGGCGATCTGGCACATCGTCATACTGGAAAGACACCTTAAGTTCGACACTGCATAAAGAAATGTTGGAAGGATGTTGAATTCTCTTTAATGAAAACATCAGAAGTGAAATGTATAATTTCTACCTCTAGATAGTTCATTTATGTGCAATTTTTAATTCAAAGCCTATTGTCAGTCTTGGACTGCTCAGTGACATTTTGTCTGACTTAAACCTATAGCTACTCTCATGTTCTTAAAGAGATATCATGTAAGATGTTTGCGCCAAAACTGTAAATATAAATTATTGAAATTTTCTCAATCTAGAATGGCATTTTCAATAACTTTCAACATATTAGCGTTGCTATGTCACTTTTCCCGGCGACTCAGCGCAGCGCTAGACTAAGTTGCACCAGACCTCCTGTATTTTTCGGAGGCTCCTACAAAGAATGTAAAAAAAAAGTGTTTTTCGTTCGGGTATCTTCGGCAGTATTCCAGCACATTTTTGCGGCGCAACAAAGTTGATCTTTTTACTCCCCAGGTAGGCTTATAGCGCAAGAAAACGTGGAAAACAATGATGTTTAAAATAGTGAAAATCTGTCAATAATATAATCGCTTTAAAGAAAAAAAAATGACAGGTGGTGCAAGGAGTCTCACCAGGCGTAAACTTCAGCTCGGTTGTTGGGATCCAGCTGACAGAGCTTCTGCTCTGGGTTGATCTTGAAAGGATTCCGATCTCCCTGTCTTCGTACCATGACCAGGGGCTGCTCATTGGGGCTTAACGGCTTCAGATCGACAACTGGTCGAGCCCTGCAATACAAGTCAAGACATGTATCATGAAATGCTCTAGATATGATGTTTTACATAAACTAGAAATTAATATAACATTTGCAAAGCATATGCATGTTTACCTTGAAGTTCGCATATGGTCTGCTCTGTCAATTCTTACTCATTGACAAACACATTCATACGTATGGTGACAGGAGTCTAAATCCTTCCTGCTAGAAAATTGCAACATGATGTAACCCAACACCAGTTACCGTGGTGATAGACATCTGGTTCAGGTCATTGACCTTATTGGTTTGGATAAGAAGAAGAGGAAACAGAGCAAAAACAATAGGGCATATGGACATGTATATGTGTGTATTTCCCTGTCAATGTATGTTTGAAGTGGAAATAAATAAATGATAATACTTTTCCCTTCGGTAAACATGATAAATATTCATATTTATCGAATCTAGTAAGAATAGATTTCAACAGACTTGATGCTATGGACAGATTTATATATATGTATTCAAATGCAACAACTCTTACAAAGCAGAAATAAGGTAAATACAAAAAAACTGTTTTGTTATTAGGAAAAATGCCAAAACTCATGGTTAGCCCTACTTGACTGTATACTCTATTAGATCTTAATGTTTAGTAACTAAGATGTTAATTTTCATTCTATACAATTTATGCCATTTTCTTCTTGTACTGTGTTCAATAGTCTTTGCCATACATGTACCATATACAATTGTCGTGCAATAAAGTTCTTTTATTGTAATGCCATAAAAGATATAGCTGTCATGCAGTCTATAAAAACAATACTCAAACTGCAGTTATGTCAGTCTACAGCCAACTTTCACTTTGAAAGCAGCCGATTAGTGTTGAATACCTTAAGTTTCTGTTGAAAGCGTATGCTGCAATACAGTAGAATTTTGATAGACTCATGCCAGCTAGTAAAAACTTATTATCTGCCATACATTGTACCATTATATAATTCAATTTTCTTACCACACAACTTAATATGCATGCACAATATGGGATGGAGCGATTTTGGTGCAGTACGACAAGCTGCAAAGAATCCAAAACCGGGTGGGAAAACTTATTCTGAAAGCTCCATATAGAACACCATCAGTAGAAATCCTATCGCGCCTTGGTTGGAAGACTGTAAAGACTATACATCAACAGCAAAAAGCTCTGCTGGTGTATAAGGCTTTGAGAAATGCACTTCCACCATACATGAGACGAGTCTTCAGCCTGAGAAGGGATGAAGTGGCACGGAATACCAGATCAGCTTCTACTGACTGTCTCATCCTTCCTAGGCCGCACTTGGAAGCTTACAGAAGAAGCTTGGCTTACTCCGGCTCAGTGGTATGGAATAACATCCAGCCCCACATTAGGGCAGCACCATCCATCCATACCTTCAAGTCACTTATGGAACAGGCATAACTGGGACTCACCATGGACTTGAATTGGCTACGAACCTAATGATTTATTTGTGAACTTATTCATTTACTTATTGTATTGATTTAATTACTTATTATTTATGCTTGTATGGATTTGGTTCTTATCCGTGACCGATCCCCTCAACTTCGACCTTGTTGAAAAGCGGCCTTGCGCCGAACAAGCATTCGAAGGAAAATAAAGGCTTTGACTTGACTTGACCTGACAACCGTGCCTGATAAACTTTGACTTGACTTGACTTGCAAATCCGACAATAACGCAAATTTCGCGTTTGTTTGCAATAAAAAAACATAGTTGGTCTTTTTGCAACACTGGCGCAATGGCCTTGCATTCGGTAGGTCGTGAGTTCGATCCCCGGCTTGTAATACCAAAGCCTTTAAAATGGTACATACTTCTTTCTCTGCTTAATTATATAGCACTCAGCATTTGGGAAAGAGTATGGGAGTTAAACACACCGCTACCAGTGGACTAGCCCCCTGCTGTAGTGATTGCACTGCTGTGTGTGGCCCAGGGCTATCGGAAAACGGAGATGGGCGCCGCCCTGTGTGTCACTTGATGCAGGAAGGCTCTTTGAGAATATGTAATTACCTGAACAGCATGGCTTTTCCTTCACCAACGCCCGCCAGCAGATCGGGGTAGTCGTTCCCGTCCATGTCCAGACCTCCGGAGAGCGCAATGCCGAGGTTCTGGACCGGGGAGCTGAGTTTGGAGCTCCTGATGACCTGGGCTGCGTTCTGAATGATGCCGGTACTGCTGCCCAGGAAGATGTAGATAGCGCCATTGCCGCCATCTTGGTAAGGCGCTCCTACAGCCAGGTCTGGAAGAATACAAGGTACATGTGATCATTACCTTGTCCAAAAAGGTTATGTTCTCGGTGCCTTTTGTGCTTTTGTGAGTGGACAGCTTAACTTCAGAAATTGTGGATAGATCTGTCGGTAATGGTTAGGCCATGTTGATTATATGGATGACATCTGCGCACGCATCAATTTTCGTCCCTTTCCAAAAAAAAGTGAAAAGTTTCCGTAAATCGTACAAAATGAGCGAGTACATGTCGTATGTTGCAAAAAAGTATTGGAAAACAATACTGATGTCATAGAATGCTGAAATCAATTCAGACAAACAAGAAAATGTGAAGAAATGAAAATAAAGAGTAATACTATGAGGATTGGTGTCGGCAAAATTTATTGTGGACCGCTTTGCGGCTTTCTTTGATATTGCGGGATAACTTCCTATTTTGGCTATGATATTCTGATGAGCAATGGCTAGAGGAGGATGATACTCTTAATTATAAAATCATTGTACAAAATCTCTACACACCTTGGTAGCCATCTCCGTTCATATCACCCATCCTCGCTAGAGACGCTCCGAAGAAGGCATCGCCCTTCGCCTCTCCCCTGAGTCTGATAGGTTCAACTTCATCCAAGCGTCCATTGCCCTGTGCAGGGGATAACAAGCCCGATTCATTACACATAGCTAGCGTCCTTGAATAATCTCGAATAACCATTCCGTAAACGTAAGAATCCAGACTGTTGCCAGGGCCAGAGCCCCAATGTAGTTCAGTGCCCGCTACAAAATTTTGCGGTAATGATGCCCCATTTTCCATTGGGAAATGTTAACTAAGAAGTTCCTTCTGTATTTTGTATATTCCTTGGATTTAGGTCCGGACTTGGCCTAAACCTCTGGACTTGAATCCGGACCTGGACCTGAACGTGGGTGTAGGTACACATTGTAATACTACTCACATCAGCAGGGTTGATGTAGATGTACACGGCACCTCCCTTTCCATCATCACCGAAGTACTGTGGTGCGCCGACTGCAAGATCGTCGTACCTGATGTGAACAAGATAAACCAAATCAGAACAAACGTATCACGTGCTTAATTTCAGGACAAGAATGAGCAATGATATAATGTGTTTTTATTTCCGAGTTTCGCAGTGAATGTGAATTTTTTCTCGTAAGACGATGGATATTGATGGACTGTGAATGTACTAATTGCTTAAAAACGGATACATTTGAACTCATTGTCAAGCAATAAAACAGATAGCAGTGATAAACTTGCCTTTTTCTTCTCTAGAGCAATATTGCACAATAATTAAGATTGATTTGACTCAATATGTTGAAGGGGTAAGGTTATTACTATGCAATTCTGGTTATTAAGATTTTACGACTCGAAACCCACCCGTCATTGTTCAAATCTATAGCTAAGACGCTGGAGCCGAAATCAGACTTGTATTGTTCCCCCTCAAGGATGAATCCAGGAAACAGCTCGTTGTTCGAGTTCTGTGTATCAGCTGGGATGGACTTATAGAAGAAGGCCACCCCTCCAATGCTTTGGTTAAATCCAGGTGCGCCTCCGATGTAGTCAAACCCGTAGTCGACCCCATCGCTAGTGAAGTCTCGGAATTTTCCACATGTCACCGATGTACCTATTGGTGGAGGAATGGCAGTAGATTGTATTTGCAATCTTGTATATACTGAACATGAACAAAACCCGGCAAAAATGTGGAATAGAATCTACAATCCTGGCCCTTCAATGACCACATGTTGCTTAAATGTCTGCTGCCATACCGACTGAGCTAGCCGGGCACTCATTAATTACAGCACATTTAAACAGTTTCCAAATTTGGGGCTTTTAAACTTTAACAATGGACCACAAGGCACACGCGGACTCGAATCTGTGAGGTAGCCCTTTGTTAAATCGGTAGCACTACTGTTATACTCACCCAACATAGCCCCTTTGTCTATACCAAGCTCTGCCAGGTTGTTATATGTCTTTTTGGCATACTTCGACTGATCGAAGTTTTGGGATCCAGGGGTGCAGTATACCGTGCCTGAAAAAAATTATTTGTGAGCTCATTGTGCAACATTTTAAAAAAAATTATCAAACAAGGTAGACTTACTTCAAATAACAACTAGAAATGTAACATTTGCAAAGCATATGCATAATGTTTACCTTCGTATATGGTCTGCTCTGTCAATTCTTACTCAACACATTCATATGTATGTTGACAGGAGTCTAAATCCTTCCTGCTTTAAAATTGCAACATGATGTAACCCAACACCAGTTACCGTGGCGATAGATGTCTGGTTCAGGTCATTGACCGTATTGGTTTGGAGAAGAAGAAGAGGAAACAGAGCAAAAACAATATATTTTTCTTCGGTAAACATAATTATGGGAAAGTACAATCCGTACCTCCAAATAGTCCAATTTTTTATATATTGGTTTACATTCCAACTATATGGAGTTAACTTCATACATGGCACTTTGATTGTGACACGAATTTTAAATATTAAATTTTGAATGTAAAACTAGTTACCAGTCCAGCTGTAGACCCCCAGGTTTCCGAGTACGATATCCACCTCATAGGGATTGAACGCAAAATCCTACGGGAGAGGTAAGGGATATTTAGACATTTAGAGCTCAATCATATGTAAGGTTACATTGACTGTTCCTAGTTATCCGTGAAAAGTTTAATGAGGTTGGTAAATTACTGAGTAAAGAGAATCTTTTTACACAGCCAAGTGTTTTATTATTTTGTGTACGTTTGGGGCCGGATTGTAGATACAGTTCCCTGTAACCACGTATATGTGCTGATATTTAGATATTGTACGCGTTTGGGAATGCATCTATAGCAGCGACACCTGTGTCAATTGTGTCAATTGATTACCCATACCGTCCAAAAAAAAATGAAAATGAACGTCTAGCTAATTGTTTCTAAAGCACTCAGGTTTACATTCTGCATCAATGCTGCTTTCCCTTTAAGGTGGAAGACGAAGCACATTTTATTTCAAAGAAAGGAACTGTTTGAAGAGGCCCGTAAGTGTCGTCCTACGTTCTCCACGTTTACAGACAAAAAGAAAAACTACTCTGACTCCTCTTAACATCACAAAACCCACACATTATATAAAAAGTGGGATCATTCGTCCTCCACTATCTCGGAAAAAAGAAATCAAACCCAACAAAAGTTCTGAGGTCTCATACCTCCATGAAATATGGGCTTGATATGTAAATGTAAATTTCTTCTTTAATTATGCAAATGACCTCTTCATTAACATAATATATGCATCGTGAACTTTTGATTAACTTACAGATGTCCCAAGTATGACATTCCCATCATTCACCATTAAGAAATCATAGAATTTTCGCATTCATTATGCAAATTCGGTCATCATTTGCATAATTAGTATCTGTAGATGTTCCGCCTGCCATAGGTTACATACATTACATGTATGAAAGTAGTATAATGTAAAACACTGTAATTATAGAATTTCCTCATTAATTATGCAAATAAAGTCCTCATTTGCATAATTTGTATTTAATTATGTACATCTCTCTCTCAGCTACCTACACACCAAAAATGATGAAAATATGTTGTTCCTATCTGGACTTATTGGCTTATTGCCCTGCAGTTCCAGAACAAGCTGCTAGGGATACCAAACTCACACCACTTATTCCTGACAGGAAAAGCAATCTGTCACCAAAACATCAAGACCATAGCATGTTCAGGACAAAAGATACAAAAACCGGAAGTTCTGCTGCAGTACCTAGGTCATCCACCAGGAGGCCCATATTTGACCTTGACCTTTGTCTTCCTAAGACTTACCAACATATTAAATATCATCATAATCCATAAAGGCGTTATGAAGTTATGCTGACTAGAAATGTGCGGAAACACAAACACACAGACACACACGCAGACAGACACACACACAGACAGACACGCCAAAAACAATACCTCCATTTTTCATGGAGGTAATAAGTTATAGAATTAGTACTTGGAGTAGTCACATACTATATTGTTATCCATTGTCCATCCTTTATTTTCATGTACTTGTGCAATGACGGGCAAGAACTTGCAAGGAACTTTATTTTATTGAAATGAATGATTAACGTGTTTACGTACGTTGGGTCCGGGTATCCAATGGGGACTGAACACCACTGATGTCCCTGCCTGCGCGAACCCGTATCCATCTGCGTCAAAACCGCCAGTGTCTCCGAATGGGCTGTCAGGGGGAGAAAAAAAAGGAAAACAAAAGTTAAACAATCTCATTCCTTCGCTAAATGATGTTAACCGTTCCAACTGACGAATTGATACATTTTCTGATTGATTATGAAAATAAGATCCTCATTTCATTTCCATCTTTATAGATTGTATCAGTTGATCATATTCTCTACCCAATCACAGCCTTATTTTAACATAAAAAGGATATTCTACCAAGTTTCATGACAATGTAAATAAAGCTTCTTGAGTTATGCTGTTCACAGACAGACAAACAGACAGACAAACGCTACTGAAAACATAACCTTCTTGGTGAAGGTAACAACATCCGAAGTTGGCCAGAAGAAACAAATAAAAAACGCATATTCACGGAATGGAAACAATTGTGTTCAAAATTCATGGAGTAGATATGCTCTATAGACATTGTCAACTTTGTAAATTGCTTCCTATATGGCTTCGCGTTCCTCGTTGTATGCATGTACATTGTAGTTCAGTTCTGAATCATAGTTACCATAATTGTTATTTTTTTGTCAAGAAAATACTCGTCCGCCACCATTAAATCCATTGAAAAAAAATCATAACTCATTTTTGAAGATTTGAAATTTTCAGGCTAACCTTCTGGCCACGGTAGTGGTCTACAATTCATTTAAGAATAAACTAGCAATAGCACCAGACTTTAAAAGAAGTTGCAGATAAAACATAAAAATGTTGTGTGTGCTTTTGACATTTGCAATGCAATTAAGGACACCAGCTAAACACTACCTTCTACACTGTAAACTTTATACCAGTCAAAGAAGTATCTCTTTCCAACATAGTAGAGCTACAGCAACTCAATGACAGTACTGTGTTATTTAGTGCTACGAGGGTCCACATCGCTTTCACATTTACAAAACTGTAATGTCTTCGATGTAGTTCAAACCTTTATTTACTGTACAGGTAGATTCTTATTGATAGATCACCAACTTGTCTTGTTTACACTAATTTTTCTTTTACCCATAGAAAAGAGGTAGAGGGTGTCATATAAGCAACTGTGCTTCTTGCCTAATACTCAATAGATATATGTAAATAAATAAATGACAAACCAACACCTACGTCCGATCATCAATGTCTCCTTGAAAGTTATTCTCCAAGAAGAAACACCGTCCGATAGGGGCCTCTTTCCTGGAGTTTCCAGATCCTTCAACTTTCTTGTACTGATGACCACAGATCTGAAGATGGAAGGCACACAAAGTTTCTTGAGATATCAGCGGTGAAGGTGATTTGTCATTTGTTGGTAATTTTCTCTCCAATACTTTTGAATGAAAGACGTTATTGTATCTTTATGCTCTTACAAGCTAAGTACATGTAGGTCATGAATAAACAGGAAAAATAATACAGCAATATCTTATCAAAATTATACATACTAATGTTATCTACTATTTACAGGTAAACTTCTTCTCTCTAGCTTCTTGAGGCAGTTGTAGATGCACGAACATGTGGAGTTAATGATACATGATTCGTCAAGTTTCATAAGGAATGCGAATTTTTCTTGTTCATCCGAAAAGTCTAAAGCTGAGGAACTTATCGTTTATACAAATATAAGAGGAATCCCTCTCATATGGTGTACAATGAACTATAGAATGGCATTCAATTCTATCTAAGATTGGCAAATCCTTATTTGATTATAGCGCAGCGAAAAGAACAGATTGTAGGCGTTCTGGCTTGATACGATGACTAGTACCGAATGCAGCAATATTCGAATTCGTCGATCGTGCGATGAAATATCCCAAGTATGCAAATGACAACTTTGTGCAATGAAATATCTCAAGTATGCAAATGACGACTTCTTACCGCTACTTTTCCCGGTTCTCCACTCAGAACATCAGCTGCAATGGCTCCACCCATGAACTGATTGGTTTTATTCTCCGAGGCGAGATCAGGACCTTTAGTTGAAAAAAAAGATTCAGATCACATATCACTCTTTTCCGTACATATGTACAGCTCAAATCTAGTGTAAATGTACAATGACAATGAGAATGAACTTACATATGCACATTGCGCCCCGTATGGGCCAAATGCACTAAGTTAGATAACTGAGGTACAAGGAACAGAAAAGGTAGAAGGAACGATTGTTACATTTACGTTGCTGTGCTACATATATATCGACAGGATCTCTTCTCTCTTTTTGAAACATGTATGAACAAATTTACATACTTTTTCATTTACATCGTAGTTCTTGGATGTCATAATTTGTTTGAATTGTTTCCGGTAATATCTCGGTAAGGGTGTGTATTTCTGTTCTAATTGTAAGGAACTAATAAAAGGATGTCCGTATATCTGTGTGTATATAGCGAGCATTCTAAAGCAAAGTGTACTTCATCTTCTACATAGTTATTGTTACAGAGAGTACAAATTCTGAACATAACCTTGCATATTTGAGAGAGGGAGAGAAAGAGATCTCGAAAGAGGGCTAGAGAGAGAGGGAGAGAGAATAAGACATCAATCCAACAAGCATGAATTCATCAATTTCCTTCGTATGTAATATTACCATTTAATTTTGTTGTATTTACTTACTGTTATTTTCACATGTTCTCTATTTACCCTTTTGTTATAATTATTATTATCATTATGCTTTAAATCGAAATGGGCCGGGGGAGGACTAGAATAAGCCCTAACGCTCTTTCTCCTCCAGCACATCTATTTTGTTTAGGGTAATTATTCTATATTCTGTTTCGTTCGATTAGTATATTTACTTACTGTATTGTTTTTGTTTTATGTATGTGCAAATAAACAAAACAAAACAAGCAATGAGAATATGTGGACTCACTATCGGTGTCAAACCTCAGCTCTTCGCAGTCGTCCTTCCGCGTGCTGACAGGACACCTGTACACGGTCCCTGGTTGGTCCACGCCCGGTAGGTACATACTATTCGCCTTCGGTGCACCAACGAGTAATCTAGACATAAGAAACTTTATAAGCATTGGCAGACTCAAAAAAATCTAAATCATATCACTAATTTGCAATGCAATATTAAATTTCTCGGAGGATTAAAGACTTTAGAAATAAACATTCAATATGGCATATTAGGTCATTTACAATATACACTTTTGAAATTACAGAATTCTAGAAACCAAATTACAGATATACATACGTTTTAAGGGTACAGGTTGAATCATGATAGAGATTTTTTATAGAGCAGTGTTTATTGGTAGAAGAAACATATAGTTGAAGTCTCTCTGTTCGACATTTTGGCATTGTGAGATGGTTATGGTTTCTAAGTGTCCTTTCAGTTACGTATTTCCTGTCCTTTGTGACATGTAGTGCAGGGGTGGTCGCTTGCCCGCATCTGGGTTAATTTCTAAATACTACGTTTGTGTGGTCTAACGTCTCTAGATGAGCGACGCAGAGCTCACTGTGTTAAGTTTGCCAAATCGTTAGTTAAAGGCTGACTTTGTCTCTTGGCTACCCTCACGCCGGGTTGAGTTGCATGGCAGAAACCTCAGAAATTCGCATGATATAAGCGAGTTTAGATGCAGAACGTTTCTTGAACACTACTCTGCCGTATTGTGTTGTTATTGAACGCTGACCTACAACAATGACCTACTTCATATCACCTTTACGTATACACGTACAACCCATGCAGATTACAACTTCAAATTTTTTTCTGTTAATGAACGCTGAAGTAACTGTTTTATGATATTGCGTAATTATATTTTTGAACGTATTGTAAATTTTAATGTTAACTTGACATGTAACGAAGAGGTTTTTATCAAAAGTAACGAACTTTTATCAAAGGTTCTGAACTATTTTATACTTATAGCTGTACTATAAGCACATCCTGTGTTTTAAAGCCTTTTCAATTCAGCCAATTCAGCCAATGGAAGGCTTTTGTATGTACGTACATGGTACAAATAAACCTCTCTCTCTCTCTCTCTCTCTCTCTCTCTCTCTGATCTCTCTCTCTCTCTCTCTCTGGGTCCATTTTTTGGAGGGGGAGGGGTATTTTCTGATCAAACGTAGCCCGCACGCGATAGAAACTCAGACCGCCAACCCTAGTTTGCTATTCCTGGAGCATTCTAGGGTTGGCGGCCGGAGCTTCTAATGCGTACGATCTACATTTGATCAGAAAATAAACCTCTCCCCCTTACAAAAATGAGCGATCCCGGAACGCCTGAAAAGGAGGCTAACGCAGTGGGTTCACTTGATCGTATTGTTACCGCTTCGCTGTTTGACCCTTTTGGAAAGGTCGACCCAAATCACCCTGTTGGACTGGTTTTCCAGAAGCAACATGGATTCTTTATACATGCTACCCCCCAAGCGAGAATACACTACACACAAATCCCAAAACATCTGGACATAAATAAGGGCTATATTCATACATCGCGCCAATATACGCGACCATATAAGAATTGTGTATCAAGTATAGGGCTGAAAAATATCAGATGCAGTGTTTTTGTACCATTATGGGCCATATATAGTCGCCTTTTGAACCCCATGTCTTTTCATAAGTACGGCTAATACTTTATGTCTCATTGTAGAACCAGGCTGAGAAGTAACATGCAACGACAGCCAGTCCTAAAATTTTGCCAAACTAGTTAACGTTATGGCTATATCAACTGTGTGGATTATAAAATAATTGACGTTCTGAAGTTGAAAGAGATGAGTCTAACTAGTTTCTATATTTCGGAGAAATATACAAAGAATACAAACTTTTATATAGGACATGTATTTTCCTCGTTAGTACGGTTGAGAATTTCTCGTCACCAGTACATATTCAAAACAGTTGGTATGTCTTATCTAAGAACACAGTCGATGCTTTGAATGATATGTACATGTGTCTTTTATGCATCGTACCCCGAGGTACTAAACTGCGTGTATTACATTCAAGAATTAGCACCTGTATATATGATGTCAATGCCTCATGACTAGAAACACAGTTGAATTTGTACATCTGACTTTCATCATAAATAGACGCCTCTGTATGTAGAAAAAATTATTATTTTACGAGATAATAACGCAATAGTCCTTTCATTAATGACCAGCTGGTTCTTCAGTGTGACAAAGCTCTCTCAAAACTATTCGCCCTGGAGTGATGTCACGCCTCCCGTTTATTTACCTATCTACCCTGATTATAGCTCAATCAAATCTGGCCAAAACAAGCTGAGGTTGAAACGTTCAAATTAGATCACAGACCGGCATGTTTATATGAGCTACATAAAGTGTACATGTATGGTGTAGTGAATCTAAAGGACGAAATATACTGAGGTAACTTTGTTGTATCTGCATCTGTGTATCCGGTATAACAGCTGAACACCAGGTACAAATATGAGAGGCATCTTATGAAGTAGAGCGCCAAACCCCTAGCTAGATGTTCCTAGATGTTGTACCGTAGTAGGCACCACGGATGCATCTATAGTGCTGACAGAGACACACACGCGCCATATTTTGGCCATGACATTCGTAGCGGCCGTTTTCTCTAGATCTTAGTGGTTACCGTGTCTCATAGCTTGGTATTGGGTGTTCTCTAGAGACACATTTCCACACATGTAGGGATTCGGCTCATTTTCATTGTTGCAAGCCTATTTTTGCAACGTTTAGTACTATTTCCTAATACTGCACTATCTAACAGTTCTAATTCTCCTAGGAAAGCGTTTTAAGTGTACTTAATGTTGCAAAAACATGCATCAACACTAGGAATGAACCAGATCCTTATTACATCTGCTTGGAGATTATGGTTCTCTTATGTGCCTGGCGGGAAAATCCATTTTTGCACGCGATTGGCGCATTCAATATGGCCGTTTTCAATTATCATTATGTAGGTCAGCATCTTTTATGTGCGAGCAAAATTTGGAGAACATGGGTGTCGTCTGTGACTAAACAGCATGACTAAAATTGATATCCGGTCGTCAAATATCAACCACTAATAGATAGTTTTGTTACTTGAATTTATATATACATTGTAATGGCGTTGGTTAAGCCTCGACTGTATAAGCAACAGGAAAATCATTAGATTTCATAAGCCAAACGTATCAATTTGCACTAAAAAGGGATAGACGCATTGGTCCAAATTGTATACACACACTAATCTAAACTAATCTAATGGCATATATGGAAGGGAAGGTTTTGGCACTGATGGTGTCACTTTTATTTCGCTACCTTTAAGTTAGTTGACATCTGCTGCAAAACATGAAAACAATCACACAAAAGACCACAATGCCATATCGCGTAGCCTAACAAACAAAGAGAGTCGACTTTATGAATAATTTAGCTCGCTACCTAAGTTGTTTGGCATTTCCGCCCAAAGAGCGGAGACGTATTTAACATACACAGACACAACAAATGTATAGAACAACAGTCAAACGTCCGAAGTTCTTTAAAGTTAAGTTAATCCGCCCCAACATAATTACTCCTTAGAGTGGCCACGGCACTGGTATCTTTGTCCTTGTGAGAATTGTTTAACAATAGCCAAGGTGAACAGAACATAGACATTGGGCCTAGACATAGATAATCACAGTTCCTGTATGTTTTGTCTTGGTTTATTCCGGATGAATTCTACCGTATAAATGGAGAGAGAGAGAGACGCTCTGACTGCATAAGAAGTTTGAAAACGTTCAACGCTGATTGTATTTGGTTGACAAATCTTGAAGATAATACACACAAACATAAGTTTCACTCGTATACATAATTTCAAAGAACTCAGCGCAGGCGAACGCATGCAAATGATGCTCAATTATGTTTGTACTTTAGCTACGGTTAAAGTATGAATTCTTATCGGAAACTTTGCATAACAGACTTTACAAAACAGAGGTTAGGATAGACCTACGACCCATACTGGCACAGAGGGCACAAGTCAGTCGAGTGAGGTGGTTTATGACACAAAGAGTAGAGGTAACTCACACATGCTCGTCGTCGTCCTGAATGTAGTGTTGCGCCACCGAATACCCGAACGCGGTGTCTGGCGTCATCTCCTTGATGACTGGGTCTCTGGTGTCCAGGTTGAAGGAAGAAACGGCCACCAAGAGTCCAAGAAAGAAAACAGACGGTAGCGCCTTGAGAGGCGCCATGTTGGACGCTAGACAAGCAAAGGTGGCCCAGTGTGGGGATGTATAAAGAATGCACTGGGTGCCCGGGGCAGTAGGGGGTGGGTGCTGGCCTATGACACCTGGTGCATAACTAATGAAGTTCCCGTAGCCGCCTTTCAGGTTTTTGCCTCGCTTCTAACATAGGCGACGCTATTACACCGATATGTGGGTCTGCATATATGCCCAGAGGGGGGGCCAGGCGACAATTAGTGCCTGAGTGACAAACGGCAGGACCAAATCACATTGCCAGGTTACGTCATGCCCTTGACAGGCCCAACACCTGCGACAGGTAACACAAAGCGGAGAATTAAGGCCCCATTCCTACTAGGATTGAAGCCGGATCGAGACGGATCGAAGCCGAATCAAAGTGAATCAATTCGGCTCGATCCGGACAATTTTTTCCTAGTGGGAATGGGGACCCAAGACACTTTTGCCACGTTAGGAAGTTATACCAAAGGGTTAACTTTGTTGTTTAAGAGTTCACTTTAAAACCTAGCTAGCAATTTGATCGATGAAATCTTTACCTTAATTCGTAGGACAACAAGGTTATAAAACATTTAGCATCGTGAAACTTAAGTTAAGATTTATTCATCAATTTCTTTGTCATTTTTTTTCTACCTTCTTGCTACCAAGAACCAGAGGAAAAGTTGCCCCCGCCTTAATGCTGACAAAAGGACGCTGACTAACTCCGTTTACGCCTAGGGCAGGTTCCAAATACCTTTTGTTTAAGTTTGACACAATTATCCTATATCGCTGCATCTCAGAACAAAACCCTGCCAAACTGAACGAAAACAGTTTTAACCATTCCATGTAATCTGTGGTGTTTTAGTCGTTTTAAGGCCATTGTGTGCCGAAGTTTAACCGCGTGGATATAACGTGATTTCGTTGAGCAGAGTTGGAAGTTGAGGGGAGGAGATGCGTTGGTTGATTGGCATGAAAAGGACAGGAAACCGGACCCAGGGGCGGTGACACCTTCATTATCTGACGGGAAATATGATTACTCATGGAATGTCGGTGTCCTGGGAAAAACCTTGACGTTGCATTACGCACCTGGGCTTATGTAAATGTGTTCCGTATTGTAGTAGTTGTAGTAGTAGTAGTAGAAGTAGTAGTAGAAGTAGTAGTAGTAGTAGTAGTAGTAGTAGTAGTAGTAGTAGTAGTACTAGTAGTAGTGGTGGTGGTGGTGGTAGTAGTAAATGGTTTGACAAAACACGGAACAAATCGGCCTTGCAGTAAAAACTGTAGTAGTAGTAGTAGTAGTAGTAGTAGTAGTAGTAGTAGTAGCAGCAGTAGTAGTAGTAGTAGTAGTAGTAGTAGCAGCAGTAGAAGTAGTAGTAGCAGTAGTAGTAGTAGTAGTGGTGGTGGTGGTGGTAGTAGTAGTAGTAATGGTTTGACAAAACACGGAACAAATCGGCCTTGCAGTAAAAACTGTAGTAGTAGTAGTAGTAGTAGTAGTAGTAGTAGTAGTAGTAGTAGTAGTAGCAGCAGTAGAAGTAGTAGTAGCAGTAGTAGTAGTAGCAGCAGTAGAAGTGGTAGTGGTGGTGGTGGTGGTAGTAGTAGTAGTAAATGGTTTGACAAAACACGGAACAAATCGGCCTTGCAGTAAAAACTGAATTGCGCCGAAGTTTACAATCAACATATTAAAAAAACACGGTAGGCTATTATGTCTATATTTGTCTATAGACAAGCTCTCAAGACGACGTTGACCGTACACAGTGACGTATATGACTACCATGCACAGTACGTATATATTTGTATGACTTCCTTATTGTCTGCTAGTAGATACATAAATGTTAACACAGCACGTCGGCAGAACGCACTGCACCTGCGCGAAACTCGTAATGTATTGTGCATAGCACTTCGTCAGAATGTCTCAATCGTATTCGCGTATATAAGGTTACGCGAAAAGATGTCGTCTGCAACGGGAGATGTCGGAAAAGATGTCGTCTGCAACGGGAAAAATTTTGATGCAACGTTGACCAAACATCCAACGAAAAATTCAGGATTTCAAGCGCAGTACGTTCTGTCGACGTGCTCATATACATGTATGTGTACACTGTCAAGACGGCGTACATGTATTTATACACGGTTACCGTACACAATACGTATATAATGGCGTTCACAAACAGTACATATAACTTAGACATTTGAATAATGAAATAGGAAACAAACCCTTTGCTGTGATCTTTATTGTATTAAAAGCATTATCTATACTGCACATAACAATAAAGCAACCATCTCAGTTGGATATATACATTAAGTAGCTTTTGCAACATACGACTTACAACTCAACTGTCAGTACCAATCTTTCCGTTGTTACTCAAGATGAACAATTAACATTAAAACAATGCACAAGTTGCTGATAGCAGAACATCCTTAAGATTTTTTAAACAAATATCATATATACAACTTTTCTATTTCAACACCTAGAGAGATGCACTAGTGTCTATTGTAGTACAGTACTGCAGGAGTTTTTTTACTCCTTATATGTATATCTACATCATGTGTACAGGCTAGATCTTCTAAGGCTATTTACAAGAGTATTGCATGGGATAAGGGATGATATTTTATATATCAAGGGGGATTCAGAACATGTATTTAGCTTCTTAACCATCTTACGTTACAAGACATTCCATCTAATACAACAGAACATTTGGTGAAACCAGAAAATGTGGCATAGTAAGTCTGCAGTGTCAAGCATCTCTGTTATACATGTAGCACATTGGCAGATTGTACTGCGCCTGTGAAAACCCCTGATTTTTCACGGTTTTCGTTGGATGTTTGGACAACGTTGCATCAGAATTTTGCCTGTTGCAATTTTTTCCGACAAAACATTTGGAAACTACAGACGGGATGTCAACCTTATATATGCGAATACGACCTTACATGTATGAGACGTTCTGTCAAAATGCTTTGCACAATACATTACGGGTTTCACGCAGGTGCAGTACATTCTGCCGACGTGCTCTCTATTCTAGTGTCATGTACGCGTATCTCTCCATGTGTATCCTAGGGAATACATTTACTTTACCAGTACATGCACAATTCTATTGTTGCAAGATTTCTGGTTCTTACATTTTGTTGACTTAGTCCAGAATAAATTGTAAAAAGTAGGCTGTGCTCCTGATATGTGTCACCAAAATCAACACAGAATGCCCATGTGAGAAGTGTGCCTCTATGATATCATCATTATCCCTATACAATGACACTGAAGCATTAGTAAGTGCATTCTTCATAATGCCAAATGCATTTGACATAGGTTTGGAATGGCTTTGAAGCTCCAGTGCACCAATACATGCTAACTAGATTTAAAAAATAACATACTACAGTGTGCTCTTCTAAAGGCCTTCCACGTATATCTATACAGCTTTTGTGACACATGAATATATATACATATACATCTGTAATACACAGTTAAGTCAGACTAATTCGGAGTAAATTTGTAGTATGAAGATTTGTAGGTTTCAAGAAACTGCGTGGATGAATTTTACATTGTCTTCATCAAACATAGCCAAATTAAGAAGTAATATTACAAAGGCAATTTTATATATACATAGTAGTGTCTAGTGCAGATGGTTTCTCTTCAAGACCCGACCATTTTCTTAACATGCAAAGAAGTTGTTTTTTAAACTTGGAGACTACAGTTGTAATTTTCAACCATCAAGTCATGAGTTACATGAAAATAATTCTTAGAATCCTTTGTTAATAAATATTCAGCTTAACCAAAACTTAAATTCACAGTACAAAAAAGTCTGGTATAACTGCTATAAAAAATAACAACAGTGAATTTTGTATATTTTATTACCACGGGAATGGGAATTTGAACTTTCTTTTAATCCTTCAAAAGATTCCCACAAACACTACATTGTACCTAACCTTTCCTAGTACAACAACTGTTACCTCACTAAACTATTCATAAACACTTTAAATAGAATATGCTGAGTGATATGTTGGTACAGTTACTCTCCGAGTTGTCACGGTGTCATAGTGGTTTATCTAAAACACACACTCCCGCGTAGCTGCGCCCTGTTGCCATGCACGTGGTAAGCATGGTCCACGTGTCCGTGCGAGGGTTGTAGCACTCTACTGACGCCAGATTGGACGATCCGTCGTCGCCCCCGACAACGTAAAGAAGTCCATTTACAGCACACACACCTGGTTAGAGAGAGATGGCGTCAAATAGGACTTAACTATAAAATTATTAACATCAACTACAATGTACTAACAATGACAGCAGGGCTCGAAATTCGTTGGTGCACCAAACATACAAAATAGAATAAACTTAAACAAGGCTTCATAAGGTTTCATAATTTTTCTGATGTCAAGAATATGCTGCAGAACATTTGACATAAACCTACGAAAATATTTGGTTGAACCAGTGCATCAACAGAGACAAATTGGGTGCACAGCTCCAATTTTAAGTACACATGCACCCAGTATTGCAGGCCCTGGACAGTAACACTAACAATCAAACAAAGTAAAAAACACAAGTTTATATACCTGCATTTCTTCTGCAGAGACTCATGTCTCCCACCTGGCTCCAACAGTTAGTCTCTGGGTTGTAGACTTCCACGCTTTTACGAACTAGAGGTCCGTCGTGTCCACCAACAGCATACAAGAGACCATCCACCACACCTACACCTAGGGTATACATGTACATGTACCACAATGTAACACTGTAAAATGCAATGTCTCAAACAAATGCTACTAGCCCGAAGTGTCACCTTTGACAAAATAGTACTAAAATATATAGTATTGTTCAATCTAGTATCTATTTTGACTATCAACCCTTGAATGTAGCATTTTGCTTTGTTGCTTTGAGTGTGACTTGCTTTATCTTGACCAAAGATGAAAGAGGCTGGCTTTCAATTCACAATTACCATAAATCTTGAAACATTCATGATTTTTTTTCATGATCCCTCATGAAAATTTTCCCTTTCAAACTTCCAATACACATACAGTTTGACAGTACACATTGTATACAATGTACTGTAAAACTGATGGTGTACCAACCTGCTCCACTTCTTCTTGTGCTCATGTCAGCTACAGGTTTCCACTCGTTCAGGGCTGGGTTGTAACATTCCACCGAGCTTAGACACTGTCTGGATGACCCATCGTAACCTCCTACTGCATACAGCAAACCTAGGACAAACAGAAACCACATTACTGTTAAACGTTTGTTTGTTTGTTTGTTGGCATTACAAGTAAACCATCTTCAGGCATAGCACACCTGTATAGTAAAGCAGTGGTAGAAATACTTTTTTCCAGTGTTCTGCAATATATGAAGAATGTCAAAATTTTGTTCTCCAATTTGGAAATACATTCTGCAAATACAAACTTAAAAGTCTGGATTTAAACCCATGGCATTTACAAAATTGCATGTTGGCAATTACTTTATAATATTATGCAATTTGAAATATACAATGCAAAACTACCTGTATATTATAGAGCCAGTGGTAAACTGTCAAAAGCTCTTAAACATCATTGAACCTCTAGCAATCAGTACAATGAGCTGAGAAACTGACCATTGACCACCCCCACCCCTACACTGCTTCTTCTGGTACTCATACAGGCAATGGGCCTCCACTCATTGGTCCTCTGGTCATAGTACTCTGCTGTGTTCAACCCTAGAGAAATGTACAATACATTACAAATAAGCAAAATAATATTACAACAGTACTGTTAAAACTGCATATTACATGTACAACCTCATTTTACTACAAGGTTATCAAACAAAGAGGATTTTCAAGGCCCCATAGATACAAAACTTGCCTGATGATCCGTCAAACCCTCCCACAGCGTAGATGTACTCATTCAGTACTGCAGTGCCGAGGGTGCTGCGTCTTGCCTCCATGCTCTGTACAGATGACCAGATGTCCTTGCTTGGGTCGTACACATCGACAGTTCGTACTCGTAACGATCCGTTAAAGCCTCCGACAGCATATATTAGTCCGTTCATAACTACCACTCCTGTAGCACAAAAAGGGAAAAACAATTGTTTACCGAGGGAAAACATATTGTTTTTACTCTGTTTCTTCTTCTTCTCAAAACCAAAAAGGTCAATGGCCTGAACCAGATGTCTGTCACCATGGTAACTAGTGAGCGATTACACCATGTTGCAAGTTATAGCAGGAGGGATTTAGACTCCTGTCTGACCATATATATGAATGTTTGAGTAAGAATTAGCAGAGCAGACCATATGCGAAAGTAAACATTATGCATTTGCTTTGCAAATGTTACCTTTCTAGTCAAATTTTCATTCACTAAATGAATCACCCCAATTCTTTATCTTATTATCAAACAAAGCAAATATCTATGTCAAAAATATAATTTAACTTAATTTAGAGTCTATGTGGTCTATTTACCTGCTCGACATCTTCTTGTAGTCATCTCTGCTACCTGGTACCAACGCTCCTCTTTAAAATCAAAACATTCCACACTCCGAATAGCTTTGGGTGCCTGTCCTCCTACCACAAACATCACCTGAAATCATGGCAGGGGAATCGCGTCAGATGTTCTAACTAAAAACAGTGCAGTTGAACACTGGACATCTTGAAACATTTGAGCTTGAAAATGAGCTTGAAATTTGAGAAAACATATCAAATTGCAGACGACATCCGTGTATTCAAGTCTACAGTTTCGTTAGTTACGGTAATTTATAGTAACACATTTGTGGATTGACATGACAGGTGACCATCACTTCTTAAATATCTGATAACTTGTATACCAGATTTTGAACCACTCACACTAGGATTGACCCCTACTCTTATTGATGAGTGTGGTGGGTTACTTAACATGTGGGATGGGCCCAACATAGGGACCAGATAATGGTTTGGATTTCGAATCCAGAATCTTTACATTCTATGTCAACAACCTTAAGCACAAGGCCAAATATAAGTTCAACAGTTTGAAAGCACCTGATATTGTGATAATGCCACACTCACCTTTGGAAGTCCTATTGGCGTTCTTGGTCTTGTTCTGGGTGTTTTCAGTAGAGATCTCTGTTCACTGGCCAACAGATGGTACTTCATGGCTTCGATTAGGTAGTCTTTGCACGCGTTGTTACACTTGACGAGAGGTTCCTCTTCCACGCGGGATACGAGGAACTCTCGGGACATGAGCGGGAGGCGGACGTGTTCCATGAGGCGCGGCATGAAGTCCTGACGATCGTTTATGTTGTGTGATACCCACGATACCACCGCCTCAAATACCTTTGTTGAAAGGACAATAACAAAGACACACAATACTTCTTTAGAATTTATACTTAAAACTAGAGTTCCCCGATCTCATACCTTCGCCAAAGGGTGTTAATCTTTATGACTGCCAAATTATTGATTATTCCCCCCTAATTTAACAAATAAGATCCTCATTTTCATGAATTATATCATTTTATCATATTTTCAATCAAAGGACAGTCTTATATTGACAAACAATGCCATTTTAGCATTTCCTCATACATTATGCAAATGAGGTCCTGATTTGAATACATTATGTTTAATGATATTCACCTTCACTTATGTTTTAAATATCACAAGTATGAAATTCCAGGCACTTATCATTACATAATTATAAAATTTTCATTAATTATGCAAATTAAGTCTTCATTTACATAATCAATATCTGCCTGTGTTTCTCTTGTTCTCAATTACCAATGTCACAAGCTTCAATAGTCCTATCATGGAATACAGCTGATTTATAGAATTTCCCCATAAATTATGCAAATTACATCCATATTTGGATAATTGTCACATAATTATATCAAGCATCACGTAAGCTACCTACATACCAAAAATCACGACGATCCGTCAACTGGTTCTTGAGTTATCCTCTTTTGAATAATTTCAAACATGTAGCCCTGCAGTTCCAGAGCAAGCCGCTAGGGGGCCCAAACTCACGTCAATTCTTCCCCAGCACAAGAGCTACCTACCATCCAAATTTCGTCACCCTAGCATGTCTAGATCATGAGATATCAAAACCGGAAGTTCAGCTGCAGTACCATAAAAAGACGCTAGGGGGTCCAAAATCTAATCATTTTGAGGTCTCATCAAGACCTACCCACCTACCAAGTATCAAGACAATCCCTCAAGGCCTTCTCAAGTTATCGTGTTTACAGACAGACAGACACACACACACACACACACATACACGAACGCCTCTGAAAACATAACCTTCTTGGCGAAGGTAATGAATAAAATGGTGGACTTACCAGCTACTAAGTACCTAATATCAGCTCAGAAAAGAACAAGAAATAGCCATGCCTTCAAGTACCAGAGTTATCAACCAAGGATTGAGGTGTTTAAAAATTCATTCTTTTCTAGAACTATTGCAGAGTGGAACTCACTCTCACCAAGTACAGTAGAGGCATTATCATTAGATAGCTTTAAACAATGTTTAGAGTTAGATGTTCAAAGGTTAGGTGTAACAAGTCGTTAGGTGTAATATACCTAGCTGCCGCTGTGCCAAGTGCCGGCAAAGCTGGTGTGTTACGCTGAAGGGCAGTTATACCGGCTATACCAATACAGATACAGAAATAATAAAATGGAAAATAAACCAATTTTACTGTACCTTTTCCTCTGATGGTACTGTTAGCCGGTCACTGGCAATCAGATTGCACACTGCATTGATACTCAGGTTCAGAAACTCCTCCCCTACAGAGAGAAATAGCAGAAAATCAACTTTAGAATTCAAAGTTATAGGCAGAGTCACAAAAATGATGTCTTTCAATGCAAAATGCAATAAAGGTGTGAGTGAAGTGGTGTTGCCCTATACCTTAAAACAAATGGCATCCAACCTGAGGTGTTGCCAAAAAACTTACCTTGCACAACTTCAGCGAAGTGTTGTTCTATGTAAGTGTGAGCGTAGTTATGTAGGTCTGCGCAGGAATGGAGGTCGGCAAAGGCTCGGATCCCCAGACAGTTGGTGGGGTGGAGCTGTGATTGGAGGAAATCGCAGCACGCGTCTCGGACGTCCGTCAACTGGAGAAGGTTAGCCGCGGGAAGTAGCGCCTGTCAAGTACATGGGCAAAGTCATAACATTATTAGTCTTGTGATACAGGAGTTCTGTTCATAATGAAGCTAAATAGAAAGAGGCCTTCTGGAAGGCTAAAATCTATGTAGATCACTATAAGTTATAACACTACCACTAGATGTACAGTCCAGCATTTTTTTTTTTCCGCATAATTGGTAAACCACCTTTAGACGTAACACACCAGTTTTGTACAGTACAACACGTAAGTACAAGATGTGTAAGACTGGATTGTAAGGTTTGAACCACTCACACCGGGAAGGTATCTTACTCTTTTCAGTAAGTGTGGTGGGTTCTTTGACATGCATGGGGTGTGGCTCTCCCCAAACACGGGACCTCCATTTAATGTCTTAACCGAGGGACGCCCCTAACCAAAGCTAGTATTCATTTCTACTTGAGTGAAGTGAAGAAAGTGGTGTAAAGTTCCTTTTGCAAGGGCACAAAATTACTTAGTGACACGGTAGGATTCGAACCAACGACCTCTTGGTCCTGAGCCAAACACGCTACCATTTACGCCACACAACCCCACTGTACACACAGTGTTGTACACACCTGAACATTTTCCTCTGTAACCTGGATGACTGAGGAGTAGACATAGTCCACCAGCAGGACCAGGGCTTTCCCGTCCACCTCCTGCATGGTGACTCTCTCCGCGTGGGCCTCCGACAGCTCTCCCGTGAACATGGCGTGGAAGTACGAGCTGCACGAGGCCAGGACCAGGCGGTGAGCCGGCACCTCTACACCGTCTGCCTCCAGGATAACATCACATAACTGGTTCTGTCTGGGATAAAGGACCATACAAACGTCATGGACATGTTCCTGAAGTACATGTGTAATATATCAGGAGTGTTTTAGTACCATTCCTTCTGTCCCATATGTTCAAAATCTGGTACTATGTAAAGAACTAATGTACATATTGTGACAACAATACACTCGATGTGCTGTAAGAATTGTTACAGTGTGGCTAAATACATCTTATATCCATGAGGATGACCCTAACCAAAACTAGTACTACTCATTAAAATCATCAAATTGACTATCATAAATGACATTGGTGTGCCTTTCCCCTATGGATACAACACTGGGACCCGCTAGGGATTCGAACCCAGCACCTTTACTTTAGATTCTGACTGAACAACACTTTCACCACAAGACCACACCTTACCATGATGAAATAATTAAAAACATACTTTCTGAGATGGTTCATGACTTCAAAAGCCTTCTGTGTGTGACTGTGGTTCCTGTAGGCTGGGAAGTCACTCATCACACTCGCTGGAGACTCCATGGTGGGGCGGCTTCTGTCAGGAGGACTGGAGGAAAAGGTCATATATTATATTATTAACCTAAAAGGCATCCAATGCAATTTCAAGGTGGCAAAACTGGAAGTACTTTGAATAAGGCAATCTGTATCATATTAACACATATTGTAAGAGGGCCTGCAAGCCCTTTTTCGTAAGGCGTAATCAGGCCTTTTTAGCCTTCGTAATCCGTAGGCGGTCGTCCAAAATCATCGTAATTCGTAATCGGTACATTAGCCGTAACGCGTAATTGGTCGTTTTTATTCTCCGTAAAGCGTAATTAGTTACTTTTATGCGACGTAAAGCGTAATCCATGAGATCATAAGAGCGTAGGCTGATTTCAAAATGGTCCAATCCACAACGGATAATGCCGTCAAGTCAAAATTTAGGTCTCAAAATGCTGGAAATAGCGTTTCAGAGGGGTTAAAAATTCAAAATTTCCCGGGGGGGGCTGCCCCCGGACCCCCCTAGCAAGCTCGCGCCTGCGGCGCTCGCTGACGGACGCCTTCGGCGCCCGAAATCTTGCCCCCCCAACTAAAATTTCTAATCTCGGTGTTTGTGTAGTGATATTGCCAACCGTTCTGGCAGGTGAGTGAGTTGGGACACCATAAATCGGTGCCTTCAGCAGCCACCGGTTCGACTGAACCGATTTCGGGTGATTTTGGCACCCGCCAGAGCCAAAAAAAATCCAGGATCTGCCGCCTATGTAGCCTGGGTACCATCCTACTTGTATGCCGGGGCTCCCAAACTCGCTTCCCTAAGAAAGCGAGTGTGGGAGCCCCGGTATACAAGTAGCATGGTACCCAGGCTACCGCCTATGCGCCAACCAACACAAAGGCAATAGTTTTGACGTAGAACTATTAGTTGCTGTGTTTTAGACGGTCTGGAATCCTCATGATTTAACGTAATTCGTAATCAGCTCTCAGAATTTAACGTAATTCGTAATCGGCGCCGAAAATTTGGCGTAATTCGTAATCAATACCCCCCCTTGCAGGCCCAATTGTAACAATTATCATACAAACACAGAAAGGGTATGTAACTTCACTTGGCATACTTCCAGCACCAGGGCAACTTTGGTGTAGTCAGAAATCGGAAAATACCTGTACAACTCCCATAAATTATCATTTTCACCCGTCTATAACTAACCTGGCAGCGCATATTATTATCATAAAGGTGAAGGAGAGATATTGTAGCTACTTTGACGATATGAAGCACTGGATTTTAAAAGCAGACCATATCGAGGACAAAGCTTTTTTTAATTCTATTCTATGTTGGTCAACTTTAGTTACATCTGTAGTTTTCATAAATTATGAACAGATCCAAAATTCCGTAAACATCAAAACAAAGATCCTTGATATGTCAGGACCCTCGGACGCTGGTATGACTTGAAACGTAAGTTAAACCCTCAACAGGAACCATTTTCCCAAACATATTCCTTTGTAATGAAGTTCCTAAATGTTAAAAATATCATAAAGATACTCACTTTTGATCTGAAACGTCTCTATTTCACGGAAATATAGAATATTTCTAGTCCTTTAGCTGGTTTTCTCCCGTCACCATTTCGATAGAATCTAGTACGCATGCGTGTATTTTGGGTCAAAGGTCACATTACTTTATATACAAATTGATGAGGAAATCGGCCAAAAAAAAGTAACAAAACTCAAATACGCGAGTTGATTGTCCAAAAAAAGTGTTGATACATTTTGTGAATAAAGTAAAAAGGGTTATAATTGTATGTTTTCAGTGTCGACCCTTGGTCTTAGCATACATAAACAAACATTTCCCAAAAGTAGGCGTTCCCTAACGCAGGTGAGATTTAAGGGCTCCTGAGTTGTAGAAATGGCAGGTGTAACATTTGGTCTTCTCTTGTTCTTAGCTGGCCTAGATTTATCTCTCGAAGAGGGAGTAGATCTGAATGGTGAATGGATGGTAGAAGGCACGAGTGGCATCAAGATCCGCGGTACGGTGCCAGGATGTGTCCACACGGATCTTATGGCCGCTGGAAAGATAGGTGACCCGTATTATCGCTTCAACGACTTAGATTACCGCTGGATAGCCAAGGAAAACTGGACGTACAGTCGGGTATTTGACGTACCTGAAGGAATGCTGGACTTTAATGAGTTGCTACTGCTCTGTGAGGGATTGGACACCGTCGCGACGATTTTTGTCAACGGGAAGTTGGTCGGCCGATCTGACAACATGTTTAAGAGGTAACTTAACTGTCAGTTAAACTCATAGTTTTGTTGTTGTTAATGATTTAATTATAGTCTAGATCTAGCCTAGAACGTGCACGTGGATTTCAACTTAACTCAAATGGCGAAACTACATGTATGCGGTAAAAGAATCAATTACTTATCATCAAGTTTCCCCACTAATTATGTGTAACAACAAAGTTAGCCATACTGCTTTACTATTCGCTATATATAACTAACCAAAATCAACTTGTTGCTGACAGTCATAGTAGTAGCATGTACATCATAGTATATATCTCTCTCATTGTGACTAGAATTTTCTAAGAAAAAAGAGTGCTAGCCGTTACATAAGTTTCATCACATGGTATCACAATGTACATAAACCGTACTTTGGTCACAAAGCAGGGTCAAATATACCGACTGACATTTGATACCAGTTTTTGAAGGGTGAGCGCTGGCGTACTTTAGACTTGTAAGCTTGGTATTGGTGCGCGTCTATTGGCGAATAATGTCACAGCGACCTCTATCGTTTCACCAACGAACTGATGATGATGACCAACGAACTACACGGAACTTCTAATACAGAGTTAGCAGGTGTGCTTTTTCGGTAACGTTAGAGTGATTATAGATGTTGTGTAGCAAAAGCCTATACTGTTTTACCCTTGGGCAATGGGCGCTGCCATTTTTTTACGTCATGCGTCAGCCATTTTTGTTAACCACCAGGTAAGGCTTAGCCCAACCAATCATGTTAACTCTTTTCCCACCGCATGTACTTTCCAGGTACATGTTTGACCTCAAGTCTGTACTGAAGTCAGGTTTGAACACCATTTCCGTCAACTTCACATCTGCTATAACGTACGCCATGATGAAGAACGCAAGTCACTCCCAGTACATGGTGCCACCAGACTGCCCCCCTGCTGTACAGAAGGGTGAATGTCATCCCAACTTTATAAGGAAGGAGCAGTGTTCCTTTAGCTGGGACTGGGGACCGGCATTCGCAACACAGGTACACTATCAGTTCTAAACAGTTAGGAAGAAATTATTTTTACGGTGTGTCAAGTTGCATGTGATGATATGTTTTAGGATTGTAGAAGAGTTTCTAAAATACGTACTAGTATATTTGCACATTCCCTGCAAAGGAGAAGTCAAACTCAATAACAATAATGAATAGATAGAAAAAAAGAAAACAAATAACAAACCCATTGAGAAATAATGAATTCGAATAAATAAAAAAAAATCAACAAACCCATCGAGAAATAAGGTAAACTAGAAAGGCCGACATTTGCTTGGGAGCAAATACAGCATATTTCAGTCCATCTCTCTCCCACGCAAACGTAGACTATTCCAAACTTACCCCAGTGCAAAACTGGAAAATGAATTATATTAGAGCTATGTAATTGATAACAAAGATGCAAGAACAAGCACTTTGAATCTCGACAGCTTTACTTACAAAATTTAACATTACTCTTATCGCACAATCTTATACAGTAGCAGGTATGTAAATACTAACAATGATGAGATTTGATACATTTTGAAGGTCTAATTGCAAAGAAAAGGAATTATACATAACTTTGTAACTATATATAGATGAACTATAAAATTATACATACATACATATTGAACTATACATTAATTAAATACACTATGACACTATACATGTACATAAATATTGAATAAGATGTACATGACCTACATATACTATAAAACACTACATTCATATATTGAATAATCTACATATGATTGACATGATTATATATATCATACATATACTATGCAACTACAAATATCAGATATTGAATATGCTATACATGATTTGTGTATACTATGAAATTACTACAGTACCGTTCTCGTTATAGTTACCATCACCGCCGTTACTATCGCATTTCTAACGTTAGTTTTCCGTTACTAGCTGGTTACTTTTTCGTTACTAACCTGTTTACAAACGCGCTAGTATTGCATTTACTACCGGCGCACTGCTGGAACAGCGGAAGGAACGTTGATCTAGCCGGCATTTTACTATATTGTAACGTTTAAAACGTTTTAACGATCACCGGTGCATCAATTAGATCGATATATTCTTTTGTCACTGTTGTCCAGGCAAGCGTTTCTATAGTTTGTCAACTCTATTTTACTGTTTTTTCTCTTGTTTGTTTACTTAGTTTACCACCGAATATGCAATCCTAGATGATCTGAAGTTATAAATGCCCCGGTCCGTCGTACATTGTAATAGGCGGCGGGCGTGAGGTAACGTTAGGGATGTGCAAAAACATCGCGGAAAATTCCTATAACGCTCGAAAAAAGGCAGCATATTTACACGTTCCCGCAAACATTTTATGGCTAATTATTGGCCAGTTTTAGGGAGTTTTGTTATGTCCTTGGGGTTTTGTTTAGAGTGGGACCGGACGGAAAGCCGTGCCGCGACTCCATAATCGTCCGACTCCGTGCACTTCCGTGTTACATTACGTTGTACGTGACCAACAAAATTACGCCAAAGGCACCACAAATCCACATGTACATATATTTTTTTTCCCGAAAATTCTTTTTAGTACGCATTTCGTCACTAGGATGTTGCTAATTAGTCGTAGAAATAAGGTACAAAGCAGCGTAAATGTGGCTCGAGCTCTTTTCACTTCGCGCGCCCCAGCATGCAGCCGGCTTCGTTCTAGCCAATCAGAGAGCAGGTCATCAAAGGTGAACCAATCAGAGCGTAGCAGTGCGTTGCTACTTGCATATGTTAATGAAGCATGCAGGGTCCGTGCTGTTTGTAACAGCGAAGCTCTGCTGAGCGCGGCTGGAAATGTGTTTTGCAACTACATGTATATTTTTACGGGGCTTTTCTGACGTTTGACGCTACCTTTGGCACGATATGATCGCACTACCATGTACACGCTACCGGAGGCGGCAGATGAGTGGTCATTTTTACACAATCGTCGAGAAATTTTGACGTTATGCACCCGGAAGTGCGCCGATATCGGTTTGCGTTCCCTCGATTTTTGACAGTTTCCCCCGTCAAAATAAGAAACAAAACTACCGCTATTAAATAGAACCATGTATTACAATTATCATTTGAACATGATTGATCTATAACATATTCCTTTATAATATTATAAGTATAATATCATCATGGTTGTGGAAAGTCCTCAGCTGGCGAACCATTTAGTCGGCATGTCACGAGTTCTTGCGCCGCGCCGGGAGTGACGAACATTTTCTTACACATATTCTTACCGGACCCCTTCCGAAACACTTTGCGGTACCCAGGATTAGGGTGGTCTGCATATTCCCTCGTCGTGATTGTAGATGACGTAAAAATCTAGGTAACGTTACGTAAAATTGAATGTGTGGGTCATTGCGCACGACTTACGTGCAACGTGACCTCAGGTAACCCGCAATGTTCGATGTGTTCGATGGCCAACGGCAGATAGAACGAGCCATTCTTTAGATCGAACGTGGAACGGGTATAGCACTTTTGGCCCTTTTTTGGCCTGAAATAGCCATTTAAGTCCCCTAAATGAGTCATTTGGAAGTGGTGTATGCCAAACATGTGACTGCTATTCTGTAGACACATGTTCAAGGTACCTTTATACCGAATTTCAGACCATTTGGTTGTAAAACCAGCGCTCAGGATCCAAAAATCCATTTTTTGTCGAAAAATGCCCCAAAAAGCCTTCATAAAAATTTTTCAAAGGCATGTATCAAAAAAATGAAAAAAAACGCCTAGGGGTATTGGCCCACTCTACCTCCTTGCCAAATTTCAGGTCATTTGACTAAAAAATGACAGAGTTGAATCCCTTTGACTGTGTGGCAGGAGGAGAAGGAGGAGAAGGAGGAGAAGGAGAAGAAGAAACATGAGGGAACACAATATATTTCATCCATGGTATGGACTGAAATATAATAATATAGGTAGTAGACACCTTGTTAGCTATGTTCTTTGGATATACTTTATAATTTTTTCACTCGTAATTAGCCTTCGGTTTTCGCTAGGGTATCTGGAAGAACATCAGTGTCCAGGGTTACGACAGTTTCGTCATCAGAGATGTCTTAGTCACAACGAGGGAAGGAGACGGCCGCTCTGTGTCTTGGCAACTTGACGTCAACATAATCATGGACGTCGCCCGAACAAAGAACAGCACCCCTCTCACTGGACTCATCAACGCACGGCTAGACGGGTTCCAAACTACCGTCAACAAGACCGTTACGCTGTCGGCTCCGAAGGACAGCGTAACGCTGACGATGAACATCAGTCCAGACGTAAGGGTTGAGAGGTGGTGGCCTGTAGGGTACGGCAGACAGATGCTGTACAACTTAACGGTGTCTGTCATCAACAAAGGTTTGTCCAATACTCTTGACAAGAACGTTATGTTTTGGTACATGTTGTATTTGATATGCTTGAACATTTCAATGGGTGTTGACAAACAATGAACAAGTTCGATTAGCCGCCTCCTAGATCCTAGCGCCTTTCTTTGGTACTGCAGGAGAACATCCTGTTTGGTATTTCATGTTAACGTTCTATTTATGTAGCTCATGGGCTTGGAAATAAGTGGTGTATAAACTTTTCACGGCACTGCTGGCATGTTTTACCACATAGAAAGACAGACATGTACATGAATCGAAAACTAAATGTGGATTATTGTTTGCAGAATTCGGAGAAGGAACGATTAGAACTGTGAGGTTTGGTTTCCGCACGGTGGAACTTGTACAGGAGGAAATTCCAGACTCCCCCGGTCTCAGTTTCTACTTCAAAATCAACGACCTGCCAATATTCATGAAGGGCTCGAACTGGATTCCAGCTGACGCTTTCAAAGTTAGTACTATTCATTTTCAGTTATTTATTATCGTTCAAAGAGATTCCGTATGTTTCATTCTATTTGTAAAAAACACATTCGTTGCGATCTTGTGGTGATAAAGGATCATTGTACTAGTTTTCAAGGCAATCTTCGTACTTGAAATTGTAAACGAAGTCGTGTACATGCGTTCATTTTCATTTGAGGAGTGAGAAGAATGTGGGAAGTACTAGCTTAGTCACGTTTGGGACTACATTTTCCCACTGCAGTGCCACCTAGCAGTGTGAGGTAGAATTACTGCTCCGGGGAAGCTAAGGTAGCAAAACAGCTACCGAAACACTAAAGGTTCATCCTTTTGGTAGAACGAAAAAAAAGAACGGTATAATGCAATCAAGTTGTCAATTTTTTCGAATGTTTCTCTCATTTAGAACCGCATCACAACCGAGTACACCAGAAACCTGCTACAGTCTGCCGTCGATGCCAACATGAACACCCTGCGAGTGTGGGGCGGAGGGATATATGAACACGAAGACGTTTACGACATCGCTGATGAACTCGGAATCATGATATGGCAGGACTTCATGTTCGCTTGTGCCATGTACCCAACAGATGACGACTTTCTCAACAACGTAGGTGAAGAGATACAACAACAGGTTCTACGGATCGGTAACCATCCTTCTGTTATAGCTTGGAGCGGCAACAATGAAAACGAAGCTGCCCTTGCAACAAACTGGTACGGCACCGACAACTCAACACAACTCCATACTCTCTTTCGCGAAGACTACGTGAAGCTGTACATTGATGTCATCAAGGCACAGGTCACCTCTCTTGACCAATCACGTCCCTTCATCAGTTCAAGTCCGTCCAATGGGAAAGAGACAGAGATGGAGCATTGGGTGGCTAAAAATCCTTACGACAATAACTTCGGAGATGTGCATTATTACAACTATGCGGCCGACTGCTGGGATTGGACCACGTTTCCTAAAACAAGATTCGCTTCTGAGTATGGCTTCCAATCATGGCCATCCTTCCATACATTGAAGAACGCGTCCAGGGAAGAGGACTGGACATTGAACAGTGCCTTTAACAGTCACAGGCAGCACCATGGAGATGGCAATGCTCAGATGATGAACCAGGCAAAGTTCCATTTTGCTTTACCAACCGGCGGTGGTCCTTTACAACAATACAAGGACTTTATTTACCTGTCACAGGTATTGATATAGTTTATACAGTTCTAAACCAATTCTTAAAATTTGGAAATTATACGCTCCACATAATGTTACAAATCAAGACAGTAAAGAAGACAGTAGATTGTATACGTAAGAAAATGAGGAAGTAATTGCACCCTTTTATTTCGCAGGTCTCACAAGCCATGTGCATCAAAACGGAGAGTGAGTTCTACCGAAGAAGCCGAAGCGAAATTGTGAACGGAATGGGCCATACTATGGGCGCCCTGTACTGGCAACTCAACGACATATGGTAAGGTCCGACCTGGTCATCATTGGAATATGGTGAGTCAATATATTCATTTCATCCAATGTTGGTGTTTTAGATAGATATACATATCATAATTGCAGGTTTTATTTACAGAGGATTACAAGTTTAATGCAGTTCTAACAAGCACTTGACACAGAGTAAAATGGAGGAAAGTTACCTTATGAATTAATATTATTATCATCTCATTATTTCAGTATTCATTCAGTTATATTTGACGAAAGTACAGGTACTCGTTTTTGTGGTTGGTTGTTAACGTCCGATGGGGCGCTTTATTTACACTGCTGTCCCTGGTGCTGAACAGCATCCACACTGGCACTGCTGTCACTGGTGCTGAACAGCATTCACATGTACTTACACTGCTATCCCTGGTGCTGAACAGCATTCACACTGACACTGCTGTCCCTGGTGCTGAACAGCATTCTGACTGACACTGCTATCCGGATATCCCTGGTGCTGAACAGCACTCACATGTACTTACACTGCTGTTCCTTGTGCTGGACAGCATTCACATGTACTTACACTGCTGTTCCTGGTGCTGAACAGCATTCACACTGACACTGTTGTCACATGTGTTTAACAGCATTCTGACCGACTCTACTGTCACTGGACTGGTGCTTACATATTCATTTTTGCCCTTTTTTTACCAACCAGGAGGGAGGTGGAAAATGCTCCACTATTACGCTGCCAAGTTCTTTGCCCCGGTCATGACTGTTATCTTCGAGGACAAAGAACAGCTGAAGGTGTATGTTGTGTCAGACTTGGCCATCAAACAAAACCTAGTAACCTTACAGGTAACCAAAAGACTTTATCCTATATGTATGATATAAGGTGAAATTTACTGTACCATTTACAGGGTAGAATGTGCGGACACCAATTTCTTTTACATCTATTTCTGTCCTTTGCTACTGTGCTGTTGTTTCATCAGCAGAATTTTTGTATGTTTTCCAGGTGCAACTCTGGACGTGGTCAAGCTTTACGCCTCTCCAAAACTGGACCGCGACCTTCGACATGGAAGCTAGCTCCGCAAAGATGGTTTTTAACGAGGCCACTTCCCAGCTCCTGAAGAGTGGCAAATGTGCCGCACGAGAGAACTGTTACTTCACCAGCGCTATATACCTGAACAAGTCTCGGCCGTTCGGTCCAGTCAACGTGCATTTTCTGACGCGTTTTCAGTCAGCAAATGGACTGAAGAAGGCTAAGATAACAGTCTCCAACGTCACAATTCTTCCTGGTCCGTCCAAGCCAGGAGCGGGCACTACCTTGCGGCTGGAGTTGCAGACCACGGCGCCGGCACCGTTTGTTTGGCTCGATGCCGGGGACGTGGAGGGGAGGTTCTCCGATAACGGTTTCCTCATGAACGCTGAGAGGCTCAGTCTTGAGTTTTACGCGCGCAGTAGCGTAACAGTTGCCGCGTTTCAGAACGAAGTGACTGTGCAGTCGCTTATGGACATCTACAGAAATAGTGTGTGAGGGCTGCCATGACGCTAGTCATTAATACAATGTTGCTTTTTTAGAGACCGTCATTAAGATATGTGCTCACGTTTTATGTTTTCTGGGGTGAAATCATCATTGAAAATTTCCCCCCATCAAGAAATACATAAAAATAGTTGCGTTAAAACTTAGCTTGTCGCGCTTTACTTTATGTTTTTATATGACAATGACAACATTTTGGCGAAATGATTTGCGTAGATGACGAAAGGAACCGAGAAGTACGAGCTGTTATCAACGCAATGTATGAATCCGTGACAGTGATGATACAATTTCATTGAAAGGAATGTTATTCTCATTTGTTAGCCAATTCTTGGACTGCTGGTTGATTGTTGTTTTCCTGTTGGTTTTACGTCATAAAGGCAAATGTTAGGAATGTCCGGTAATATAAGTACATGTAAGCATATCCACCAATTCTCTCCACGGATGGCTTCATGAATTTTGTGCTTAGAAACTAGATATTACAGTTTACAGTACGTACTACATAATCAAGAGAAAGGCCCACAGATGTTTAATAACAGTGCACATTGCACATGTTTATTTGTCAGCAATGCAAAGCATTAAAACTAGGATATATATATAAGAGCCGAATATTACTCTCTGAATCTCCGAGGTTCTGTAATTCTTACAACAGAAGATGAAGCTTTTAACTGTTACGGACTGGTGCGGAAATAAATCTGTACTGTAATACAGTAGACGTTCATTACACGTTTACTGGATCACAAGTAGGAATTTACCACTATTACATTATGGTGTTTTATCAGGAATTATCGGAATAAAGAAAGAAAAGCCAGGCTGTACAAGAAAACGTTACAATCTTTCAACCCAACATCTGCTTGACGATCCCACCGCTGACCTCTGACCTGTCATATGACAACAAACATGGCGGTGAGGGGTAGCATGTTCGCTGTCACCGCGGCTAAAGTAAGCTTAGTTTTCCTCATTCTTCCCAACCTTTCGCGCCAAGACATTGGTACTCTAGACTTGAACGGTGTATGGTTAGCTAGCAACGGTGGCGGGGACATTAACGTGAACGGCACGGTGCCAGGCTGCATCCATACCGACCTCATGGCGGCAGGAAGAATCGGGGACCCGTATTTCCGTTTCAACGATGTCGAGTACAGGTGGATTGCCAAGGAAAACTGGAGCTACTCCCGCCAGTTTAACGTCACAGACCAGCTGCTGAAGCACGCAGAGGTCGTGCTGGTCTGTGAGGGTCTGGATACTGCGGCTACAATCACTGTCAACGGACACAACGTCGGCCAGTCAAATAACATGTTCAGAAGGTGCGTACCAATAGCCACGATACATTGAGCTAGCTTATACTAGGTGATGATGTCATGTTTCTTAGCCTTTGTTTACTTCAGCAAAGGCTTAAATAGAATGTCCTTGACTCGAGCTCGAGGTATAGATTTGTAAAGCATGCCAAAAAAGGAGTACCGTTTCACATAAACCAAATCATAAGCTATTTTATGGAGGTTTAATCAGGTCTAATCTTAATTTCTAACTTCCTTGCTAGATGCGAATGTTTCTTTCAATGTGTGAAAACTCTTTGTCTCTAAGGAGGTTTATACAAGTACCTCCTTGGTCTCTTTCAGAATTATTATATGCAACATAAATATTTTAAATGCAAAGATGGACAAAGATTAGTATGACACTTGCTGTGCACATTGAATTTTCAACTCGTAATTTGTTTTTACTCAAATAACTGAATTTTTTTTTGGCATGATGTCAGAAGGCAGAGACTTTAGAAATATTTCATTAAGACAGGTGTGTAGGCTATACCTGTGCTATTGTCTAGACAGGTGTGTTAGCTCTGGGTCAGACTTTAATAACCGGTCTTTGCCCTATGCAAATAGAAACCTGTTGACATGTTACACCTATATGCAAATATGACTAGGGGTTATTGGCCTGCAATCGGGGCCATTGGCCTGCTCTCAGGGTTGTTGACCTGATATTTGGTACGTTGGCACTAATATATTTAACGTTATTCATTAGGATACTGTCAGACAGTACATTGTTGAATTATTATTTTTTGAAGAATTATATGAAGAATTTCAGAATGTAGATATACATGTCCTAAGTTTTCATAGATTTCAGATATCACTGTAGTGATTGAGCTGAGCAAGCTGGAAATGTGGGACAAGCAAATATTTGTCACAGTATCTAAAATCACATGATAATGACACCTTTGGCAGGAACTGTAATTAGTTTAATTTGCTAATGGTGGGTGAGCTGTCTTATGCCATATGGCTGATGCATCACTGTAAGTGTGACAAATATACTGTAGTGTCATGCATGACAGGAAGTGTGAAGATCATATGACTAGTTGACCCAGTATCTCAAAATACCTTCACTACGTGTATGTAGGTCTGCTAGATTACTGTAAGTTCACATACATTTGTAGTTTCACTGCACTCAAGTGCACTTTGTGCATGAAAGAGGTTTTGGTTTAGAATAATTATGTTTATCTGTGTATCTGTGTGTTGCTATTCTTCCTCAGTTGTTGCCACATGCTTTAAGCATGAACATTGACTGAAGTTAGGTCAAAGGTCCCAGACAAGGGTATCCAATGTCTTTGTCTTTAATTTTGTGCTATACTAGTAACGTTAGGTCTGTGAGCTAGTGGAAAAACACAGAGACAGACATATCAAGTAATTTCCAATATTGAATAAAACAAATAAAAAAAATTACAAAAAACTGAAAATGTTTCACAATCACAAACGCATGATTTACTTTTTGGCGACACCTCAGGGGGGACCCTAATGGCACTGTATTGTGTGTAGTTTGCAACAATTCTATGAATTGTACAGGAATTTTATCCACAGTCATGGAATGTCCACAGGAATGTCTCATAGTTCTGGAATTTTCCTCAGATCGGATACACATTTATACCCACAGTCCTACTTAGTGAAATTCCTGGAAACCTTTGGGAAAACCTTTCTGCAGGGTTGCCCTACTTTCCCGGGGCTTGTTCACTATACACTCAGGGGAGGGTAGGAGTGATCTACTGAACTGCACTGTACCTATCTAGACTCGACAGGTATTAGGTACATGTATACTGCCAGTAATGCAAACAATAACCCCATCAAGAACAACCACCGTTGCCATGGCAATGTATGTTTTCGTCAGTCTTGTTTTCACTTTTTTTGCTTTAGGTACACATTTGACATCAAGTCTGTGCTCCAGGCTGGGTTGAACACCATCCAAGTTACGTTCCAGTCTGCCATCAAATATGCAGCTGAGAAGAACATGAGTCATGCAGATTACATGGTTCCACCAGACTGCCCCCCTGCTGTACAGAAGGGTGAATGTCATCCCAACTTCATCAGGAAGGAGCAGTGTTCATTTAGCTGGGACTGGGGACCGGCATTCGCAACGCAGGTATGGAGTATGATTATGTCACTTTTTCCCCTTACATGTGACACTTTTCAATTCTGATGTCTGCTAAGATAAAGTAAAACCCAACAGCAATGCTGTAGATGAGTATAAAATCTCACAGTGAGATTAGATTGCTCTAGATCTATTTGTACTATCTGTTAAATGTACATCAAATCATAATATTGTGTCGCAATTAGCATTTGAGGACCATTTTAAAGATTATCATCATAATTTCTTCCCCAGGGAATTTGGAAGAATATCAGCATACAGGCCTATGACAGTGCCGTGATCAGAGATGTACACGTGACACCAAAGAAAGGTGACGGGAAGACCACACTCTGGCTGATCGAAGTCACAGTCTACATGGATGTCGCAAAAACAACAAAAGCACCCGTGACTGGTCTGGTCAGTGCACAGCTACAGGGCTTCCCAACCCTGTTTGTCAAGGACAATGTCAAGTTGAAGTCTCCAAGTGACCATCTCACTCTAACATTGAATGTGAGCTCACAATTTAAGGTAGAAACTTGGTGGCCAGCAGGATATGGGAAACAAATGTTATACAAAGTGGGAGTGACCTTTGTGAGCACAGGTAAGAATTGTTAGAAGTGTTACTGTTATGTTTGTAAATCTAAGACAAAAGCAATTTGATAATAAAGGACTTTATTTAGCTTTCACTGATTATGCTATCACTGATTATGCTTACAAGTTTTTTGGAGTAAGATGTTCTTGCAATCTGTGTCTGTGTTTCTGATCTACATAAAGGGGGTGAAGTCTGCCATCTCTAAATTGCCTTGATGTATTTCTTATTGAAAATATTCAAGTTAAAGCTAAGTTAAACCTTAATTGCTGACTGTGCAAGTTGTAATGGATCCAAAAACCATTGTTATCATGACAGTATGAATAAAAAAACTATAGTGTGACTTCAGTGAATGGTATTAGGAAGCTTCATCTTAACGTACATTTTCCTGTAGGAACTGGTGAAGTTTCAGCAAAGCTGGTGAAGCTTGGACTCCGCACTGTGGAACTTGTCCAAGAGCCTATCAAAGGATCCCCTGGTCTGAGTTTCTACTTCAAGATCAACGATGTACCAATCTTCTTGAAAGGTTCCAACTGGATCCCTGCTGATGCCTTCAAGGTTTGAGTTCTCCTGTCTGTAGTTTCCTCTCCATCACCATTTTAACGTGATATTATGTTTGGCCATATGTGTCAGATTTTGCCAGAGTTTTAATCCCAAATTGGGCAGGGTTCAGATTTGTTCTTCCAGATCCAGGGGATATAGAACCAGCAGTCGCTTGTACAGGCGAGCTTCAAATAATTTACTGATTTTGTTACAGAATCGCATCACTACAGCATACACCAGAAACCTGCTACAGTCTGCCGTTGATGCCAACATGAACACCCTGCGAGTGTGGGGCGGAGGGATATATGAACACGAAGACGTTTACGACATCGCTGATGAACTCGGCATCATGATATGGCAGGACTTCATGTTCGCTTGTGCCATGTACCCAACAGATGACGACTTTCTAGGTAACGTAGGTGAAGAGATACAACAACAGGTTCTACGGATCGGTAACCATCCTTCCGTCATAGCTTGGAGCGGCAACAACGAAAACGAAGCCGCCCTTGCGGCAAACTGGTACGGCACCGACAACACAACACAACTTCACGCCCTCTATCGTGAAGACTACGTGAAGTTGTATGTTAATGTCACCATGGCAACTGTCTGGTCCCTCGACAAATCACGTCCCAACATCACCTCGAGTCCGTCCAATGGCAAAGAGACAGAAAACGAAAACTGGGTGGCTAAAAATCCTTATGATAGTCACTACGGTGATGTTCACTACTACAACTACAAAGACGACTGCTGGGATTGGACAAAGTTTCCCAAGACGAGGTTTGCTTCTGAGTATGGCTTCCAATCATGGCCTTCGTACCAAACACTGAAGAAGGTGTCGACCTCGGATGACTGGACACTTGACAGTGACTTTAATGACCACAGACAGCACCATCAAGATGGCAACACACAGATGTTGGACCAGGCAAAGTTTCATTTTGCTTTGCCGACCGGAGATGATCCCGTGCAGCAGTATGAAGACAACATCTACTTGTCACAGGTACAGGAAAAATCATCCAGGGTAGTTTTTAATTGAGGCACAGGTTAGATATAGACTTTTCACAGATCCCATTACACACTGTGATGTGCATTGCAATATGGTTAGCTCAGGAGACAAAGTAATGAAGACATAGACCCAGGACTACACACAGTATATGCATGCACTACATCTACCCATAGTGCCCCATACTCCTTTAGCATGTAATGGGATCTGTGAAATGATCAGTGTCTCTTCTAATTTTACAGAAAATAAGGGGCAAATTAGCTCCTTTAACATGCTCTATATTACTGGCACAGGTTGTTACAAGTTGTTAGGAATGTTCAAGATTGATTGTCAACTGTTTACTGTACAGGTTGTCCAAGCTATGTGCATCAAGACTCAGACAGAGTTCTACCGAAGGAGTAGGAGTGAGATCATTGGTGGTGAAGGCCATACCATGGGTGCCCTGTACTGGCAACTCAACGACATTTGGCAAGCACCAACCTGGTCATCACTGGAATATGGTAAGTAAAGAGAAACAGCTGCAGGCCTTAAGAAAAAAAAGAAGTTACCAAACCTTTCCTTTAGGTACCATCTGGGACATAACCTTTTTGCTAACTTTGCTACATATATCCCTGGTGCTGAACAGCATTCGCACCTACTGTGGTATCTCCTGTACTTAAAAATGCTGTGCTGTCCCAGGTGCTGAATTGCATTCACACTGATGCTGCTGTTCTTGGTACTTAAAATGCTGTGCTGTCCTTTGTGCTGAATACCATTCATGCTAATACTACTGTTCTTGGTACTCAAAATGCTCTGCATGCTGTCCCTGGTGCTGAATTGCAGTCACACTGGTGCTACTGTTCTTGGTACTTAAAATGCTGTGCTGTCTCTGGTGCTGAAGAGCATACACACTGAAACTGCTACATGTATTATTGGTGCTTAATTAATTCACATTCACACATGACTGCTTTCACTGGTGCCATAAAGCATTCACACAAACTCCACTGTTACTGGTGCTGAACAGCATTAATGCTGACACTGCTGTCGCTGGTACTGTCAATAGCGCTAAAATGTACATTTTTGTCATGCTGAAAGTGACATTTTTGTACCAACCAGGAGGGAGGTGGAAAATGCTCCACTATTACGCTGCCAAGTTCTTTGCCCCGGTCATGACTGTTATCTTCGAGGACAAAGAACAGCTGAAGGTGTATGTTGTGTCAGATTTGACCACCAAACTCAGCCAAGTTACCCTACAGGTAAGTCCAAATTGGTGCAATTGAAATAAGTGCAAAATTCAATGTTTTGGTCATTTCTTTACATCATAATCTAGATCTGAAAATGAAATTAAAGGATATACCTTTCCTTGAATAAAAAGATTGGGCAGAATTTTCTTTGGGAGAATATTACCAATTTTGGCACAAAAATTGTAGAATCTGTGCCTTTCATTGTACATTGAGATCTATGTTGTCTTTTTTTTATCACAACACTTAGGTCCAAGTCTGGACATGGTCTAGTTTCAAGCCTCTCAAATCCTGGACCAAGACATTCGACAAGGAAGGCAACTCAGCCGACATGATCTTCAACGAGGCGACCGCACAGTTCTTGAAAGACGCCGCGTGCACCAAACGTGAGGCGTGCTTCATAACATCCGGCCTGTTGGACTCCAAGCAGAAGCCGTACGGTCCCACCAACAGTTATTACCTCACGCCTCTGAAGACAGCAACAGGGCTTGCAAAGGTTAACATAACTGTCAGTAAGATCACCTTGCTAACAGATGCACCTACACCAGGCACTGCTAGTGCCTTACAGGTAGAACTGAAGACTACAGGTCCAGCACCGTTTGTTTGGCTGGATTCAGGGGAGGTAGAGGGTAGGTTCTCGGACAATGGTTTCTTGATGAATGTAGACACACTGACGGTTCAGTTTTATCCGCTTTACAGTGTGAAAGCACAAGATTTCGAGAAGGAAGTCAAAGTGCACTCACTAATGGATATTTACAGAAAGTGAAGTTAGATGTCATTAGAATTGTGCCGAATCTTTGTTATTTTGCACATCAAGCAGGTAGCATATTTAGATAAAGGCATCCACTGCAGATTTAGTGCTTGGAAACCAGATTTTTCAAAGTCAATATTTAAGTCACTCATCTACATACTGAGTTGAAACAACACTGTCCCAATGTATATGGACATTCATGTGGCAAAAGTGTCGAAAATTCTGATGGAAAACAGTTACTGGAAGGACCCTTGGCTGATTTTAGGGTACCACCCAGAAAATACAGGACTCATCTTTGGGCTTGTTTCTGCAGTTTTAAAAGCCCAAAGTATGAAATTCTGATTCAAATGTGCTAAAGTGGGGCAGCATGTGTCAATATCATACAAATTACCTTATTCAGAATATTTCCAGTTTTGTCGCCCTGAAATTGCATTGGATGCCTTTAACACATGAAGAAGAACACACAAAACTATAATAATAATAGTGCCTGTCATGCAGATGCAGAAGATAGATGTCCACTGTCACCATTTTATTGTTAGGACATTTAGATGCAGAATCTATACTACTGCTGAGTGTGCCTTGAAGGCAAATATAAAATGGATTTTGCTATTAATATGATAGATGCCAATGAATAATCAAAATTATCTGTTATTGCTGCTGCAGATTTATTTCATAAACGGCTAAGAAATATGTTTGACTTTGTTTCAGCAAAAGTATGCTCATTAAGTTTTTTTTTCTTAGAATTAAGAATTATATCATTCCTGCTTACTAAACAGAGTGGGTGTTAAACTGTGTGCCAAGTGTTGAGTGAGATATGTCCCATACATTGATGTACGTTTGTATGTTGGAAATACATTTCAAGGTATATGTCAAAGAAAAGACAAAAACAGTTCTAGATGTTACTTATGTTGTTATACTTGCTGTTAACATATCTTTTGGTGAACTACTGTATCTAGCCTATGCTAGATGAATATAGCCTATGGATTATTATAAAAAACGCACAATAAACAAATAAAACTTGCAACTTCTAGAATAGTGATTATGTTCAACTTGGTAAAACGTAGCTCTAACGTTGATAACACACCACACAATTACAAGTTAAACACCTTGACACTGGCAAGTAATCAATCATAATGGTAATAAATTATTGATATCAATTAATACTTAAAGCTTCATCAGGCCACTATCCAAATTAAGTAAGAAGGAAGTTGAATACCTGAGTCTTTCTTAGCCCTCCTGCTATATGGCTACAGTAAGTTATGTGTACAACGAAAATACCCATATGTGGAAAAAAGCCAACATTGGGACTACAGAGCCCAGCAGCAAAAACCTCCATTCATTAACAATGACACAGAAATCCGACCTCTGATGAAACCTAAAGCTCTGTTCTGAATAGTTATCCACATATAATAGGAATAGGACATTTTGTACATTTGTATTACTTCATAGCTATCGGACTACTCTTATCTTGTATTAGTTCGAGTTTGTTTCCCTCTAGTTCGTAAGTAAGGCCACAGCAAGTAAATTTTATGGATGACAAGCTTCGCAGACTCCAAATCTAACGCGATAGGGCGAAAGAAAACAAGGCGGGCCAAAAACAGAACGTTCCAACATTCTTAAATCATAAACCAGTAATTGTTAAACAAGAAATGATACCTATAATGTGCTAAGTTTACTGCCTCCTGTTACAATACCCATTTGGCAATGAAAAATAAAAGTTTTCAATCATTGTACAAATGGTTTTGAGTCAGTGAACAGCACATGAAAGGCATGCCTTGTCGTCTCTTCTCTTCATATTTATCTGGCATCCACTTTACGGCATGGCAACAGACATCTTTGTCTATTTTCGGCATGTTGACATCATTCAGAAAGCAACAAATTTTTTTTTCAAAATCAGTCGAAAATCAATGCGCGCCTGGTGTTATCCATGAAAATGACTTGCTGTGGCCTTTTATCGTATTAGTTCGAGTTTGTTTCCCTCGAGTTTGTAAGTAAGATCCAGAACCAGTTGTATTCAGCAATGGCAACCCGCTCAGTCATGGTCTCCTACATTCCCATTCCGCGGCTATATTGGATTAGAAGTTGACAGCCATGTGACCAGGTTATCCATGGATGCTTCGTTTCACTTAATTAATCTCGTGCAGTATTGCTGGTACAGGTCTGATTCCAGTAATTAGATAATCCCTATGCTTTGTATCCGTTACATTTTAAATATAGATAAATTATCGGATCGAAAGCGGGTCGATAGGTGCATACGTTACGCTAGTACAAAGTAGCTTTTATGTGTAGTCAACTGTTCGCGACTATCGTAACGACGAAGTCTAATCGGTTAGGCCGAATTGAAAACTTGCTGCCAACTTTCCCGGTGGGCCTTAGTCGGGTGGAGCTCAATGTTTATAAGGCAATTTTGCCCCGTTTTTCGGTTATTATTGAAAAAAAAAAAAATGGTGCGTTATGTAGATATATACAGTATTACATGACTATATGTCTGTAATTTGGGGGTGCTTTTCAGTTTCCTTAGCAAGGCTAGCAAAATCTAAGTTATGTAAAAATGATGGATAACATCTTGATTATGACTTATATTGATTTACGATTTATATTTCGCATATTCGATTGTGAACAGACTGTTGCAAACATAACGAGCTTTGTTACCAATTCTCGTAATTGCGTAAAGAACGTGGCCAATGTAACCGGTTATGTCAGTTCGTTGACCTCTGAAAGTCGTGGCAGCTTGCATGGCTTCTTTCTGTCGGTAGGTGGCGCTGCTTGTACTGCACACTTGCCGCTTTCCTGATCCTAATTCCAAGTTTCATTTTCACGGCTGTAACGTCACTGTGGCTGGTATTATGTTGACGTGGCGCGAAATAGTTAGCTACGCCGATCTTGTGAGTTCAGAACCGCCGCAAGGGGTTAATGAATTCAGGCAAACACCCTCATTTTATAGCAATAAATTCGAAAGCTTGGGAATATCGGAAAATGATATTAATGAAATAAAGCGACAAGCTGCTTGAATGAACTGTGAGCATCAGATATTGTCAATATTTGTTTTTGTGGCCTATATTTATGGCCTTTTGTCAAACTACATGCAGACTTTACAAGACACATAACGTTACACCATGTATCTGTCCTTGGTACTGAAATGGTATTTTTTCATACTAACAAACTCATTGCCACGCGCCCAAACAATACAGATTAGCTTATTAAGAAAACTGCACGACGGCGGAAATATAGCTAGCTTGGGACAGATTAAACTGATGCAAAGATTGGGAGTAATAAAGAGTTACGCACTAATTTGCTTGCGTACTAACGTATGCATCTGTATCCCAGTTGTAATATCGATGAGTTGAAAAACAAGTTTTAGGAATGGGGATTTTAACTGGTTCAGAAATGTTGTGAGATTTATAGCTTACAAGTAAGCCTCCCCAAACAAGCGTCTTTCGTGGAGATAAGCCTATTATCTCGGAAGAAAAATGTTGACTGTTTGGAGTTATTGATTGTTTTTTTAAAGTCGTCAATAGTGCTCTGCCTTCCCGAAGCGTAGGGTGGGCATGAATGTCGATTGGGAATTTATGTGTGAAGTGTAGAACATCGTGTAAATAATGAAGCTTTCACGCCAAGGGAACGTTAAATGTTGATTCTGGCAGACAACAGGTACAATTTAGCCTTCCTGCTTGTTTAACAGCCGACCAAAGCGAGAGATTATGAAGAATGAGTGATTGTACTGTCACCGCTGCACTTGTAAGCTTCCCCTATCTGATTGAGGATCCAATTACCAGCTAGAAATGTTTTGTAGTTCCCGGGGATTCTTGAGCGGGGCTCGCCATGCGCTATCGTCTCAGGGAATGCATTCATCACCGGCCACCTAATAACTCGTCTCCGGTGAGCCCCGTAAATTGCACGGCACAGGTGCCACATGTGAACCGAGGATTTACTCTCACCTTGTTCGCCAACATTCCGAAAATGAAGATGGGGTATCAGGAGATTTAGAGGTAGTCTTTCTCGAAATGAAGGCTGTCCTGTGCAGTAATGTAGTCATGATATTTTTGTAAACCCCCACTATGCATGTTATTAGGCTAGATTGGAATGGTGTCCTTGAACTAATGCGTTGTGACATGGGTAGTCAAGGGCAAAGTAGAAATAGCTCCATGCGTGTTTTCCTTTTACTCGTTTCTACTAGTCCTAATTACTGCCGTTGAGTGGTGGGTGGGAGGTGACTTTGACGATTGATGGGACGGCCACACCTAAATGTTCGGTAGGTGGAGTAGTATATGGAGGAATTCAGGAAGTGGTATTTATAATACCCGATAGTTTCATCCTCAGTTCCAATACAATCACACAGCCCAAAACACTTCTCAGAGATCTGTGAACTAGAAGATCACAAAAAGTCTAAATAATTCCCGCAATTGTGAAATAACCAATTTCTTCTCAAATGTTTATGACAGACGCCTGCACCGCTGAAGAAAAAAAACGTTCAAAGAACTGACACCAATATCACAGCATCTGATCACACCAGGCTTTCAGTGAGAGCGCTGTTTGTACTGGAAGATTTACGAATACATTGAGGACTGGAGTAGACTATAAGTAGGAATGGGGAAGGGGTCTGACTGCAGACATAAATAACATCGTTATCGCTCAGTTCCAATTGCTACCCATGAACATTGACAGAGTGGAGCATACAGCTACTACATTCTTAAAAGAGTTAGCACAGTTCAACCATTTAACAGATTTACATTACAGTGGTAGAAATACTTTCTTTCAATGTTCTGTAAAATTGCAGGTGAGTTAAAAATTTTCTCCTACAATTTGAAAACACTTTCTGCAAATAAACAAGCCTCCATAATACAATACTCTCAGCGTAATGAAGCATAATTGCAGATTGTAGGGAGAGGGGTAGGTAGTGGTTAGCTTGTAATGTACTACCTACCTACCTACCTAGTCCCATGACCGACACTGGTCGTCGGGGGAACAAGGCAGACTTGTAATGTACGTTTATACCTAATTATAATATACATGTTTCCTTTGATAGTGCCATGAATGGCTTCCCAGCTGAGGTTGCTGCTCCTTGCCTGATTAGCTTACTTCCTGGTACAGGAAATGGGTCGTCCTTCCGCCTTTGATATCCTGCCCTGTACATGTATGCTATGCAGAGAAGGGACCCATCTGTTCCGTTAGTAAGGACCAATTACCTCCCGGAGG